ATTGTGAAAGGTGGGTAGATGTAGAACTTGTGATTCCATCTACTTGCCTTGGGCCTCCACTCGCAGCAACCTCCTCGTGGTGAGGCCTGGGCAATCGGTATTGTCATCGGTAAAATACTGTAAACTGAAGACAATATCGAGCCAATGGCTGCGAACTTCGAATATATCTCATAAAACCACGTTCTATATAACGCCGAACCAGGATTATTTTAGAAATCGATATGAGATTCAAAGTGTAAAAATGTCTAGTACTTTGAATGTTTTAGAAAATTATTCCAGATAAAGATGTATGGAACTACTGAAAATTACTATAGATTTCTTTTTCTTATTCTGTAAATTCTTTGATTGGAATATGAATGTTGCTGGAACATTTTCATAGGACAATGATATAAATGGAACTGTAAAACTTTTTTAAGTGTTACAGTGATATTTCGTTGGCCTCCGTATTAGCGCACTGCGTCGAACACGGATAGCATGATGTAGTTGACAAAAAAATTTAGCTAGTAGTCGCAAGGGAGCAATTGATCGAATAGACGTATTGTACCGTAGCGCATCGTATTGTATTTCAAACTTTTATATCATTATAATTTATGTGTATATATGTATATTCCAGTAAACATACGTCAGGTAATATAAGCTTCATTTCATCGAATTGTCTTAAATATAACTGCATAAATATTGTACAATCCTATACTAATTATAGTTGTCTGGTCCAACAGGTTACTACAGAAACTAACTACTGCCTACGTCTTTTAAACTTGGGCTGTAGTAGTATCTGCAGAAACTGTCATGGTTGTTGGGGTTACTATATAATTTGCTCACGGAAGCACGCACAAGTGTTAGATTTCGGCAGTTATACGAGCAACATTAGACCGAGCTCGAGACTCGTACGAGCAACAGAGATAAAGGATCACGTTTCAAAACTCTTGCGCATGCTCCGGGGGTTCTATGACCCCACGTTCTCACCAAACGGGGCTACTGGCGCCATCTCTGGGGGTCCTATGAACCCACGTTCTCACTACACGGGGTCTCTGGTACCATTCCAGGGGCTCTATGACCCCATGTTCTCACCACACGGAGTCTGGCGCCATCTCCGGGGGTTCTATAATAATTTGTAATGGATTTGTGTAGATTTAACAATTGCCTTAAATACTACTTATATATGTATACACATTCCTATACACTGATTCGCCGCGGGCTAGTATATCCGCTCCTCTCTTAGCACAGACTGTGCTGATCGAGTACTTCCTTTTACCTGTTCTCCATACTCCCTTCTTAGCTACCTGCGCCTACTAAGAACGCTGCAACATAGAACAAGCTGTTATGAAATGAATGCAAAGTTTGCAGCCATTAGCTCGGTATTATCTTCGGTTTAGTCAGTCTATTAATTATTTAATCGTAATTACGATGTGAATATGTAATAATGATTTGAAAAGTGAACATATAATTAATTATGGGGTCATAGAACCCCCGGAGCCTACGTTAGAGACCTCGTGTGTGTGAAAAAGTGGGGTCGGTCATAGAATCTTTGTTTATTATAAAGATATGTAAAATAAAAATTTGTAAATTGTAATTAATAAATATTACTCACTTATGTGTGATAATGCAGAATAGAAGTATACTACTTGTATTTGAAAACATATAAGCCTTTGTTGTCAGTGCTAAATTGTTGTACTAACAATGGAAAAATAATGTGTTTTGCATTATCGGACAAGAGTCGATACCACCGATTGTTCGAATTTGTAACAGCAATTATCTCCGCATGTTACTCACCTCTTTTAGAAAAAAAGTTCCTGAAAGAGGGTTCCTTTTCTACTAAATTCATAAAATATGCAATCTAATGATAATAATATAAATAACACAAATCTTAGTTTTACATCTGCTTTTATTGCAACTATCATGTTACACCTATTTCCAGATTAAGTGCAGTACAAAACAACGATATAGAAACAGTTCTATGTATGAAATGTATTACCATAAAGCTTACATATTTCTTGGTAAAGTTATTTCACATGTTTCAAAAATATTCGGTTCTGAAAAATCTCTTATAGAATTATTTTATCACAGTAATAAACTATATTTGTTACATGATTAAGGTTCTCTTATTGTAATAAAAAGAGCATTATTAGTCTAGAATATTTAACTATGAAACTTTACAGTTACGATGTAATTATATCATAAATAAAATATTTCTAATACTTTTTGTATTTTAAATAGTAATACTTATTTTTTCAAGTGTGTTTAAAGCGTGAAAATTTTAATTTAACGTTAAATAATTAATTTATTAAATTATACCTTTTTTTTAAAAAGTTAGTAAGTAAGAATTTATGTTCATATATGTACATTTTGTTATAGTGTTGTTGATGTGACAGCACTAACCCCATGCACTAATACTGTAGGTGGTAAATCTGCTGTCAATTCCGTTAACAACTGTAGATACTGACGATACATAGCCTCTTCATTCCAAGTATTTGACGCTGGTGGCGCAGGCAAGTAAATGAATGTTGTTGCAGTTTGAGATGAATGCTGTCTAATTAATTGATTAACGCTAAAAATGAAATTAGTGAATATAAAATATTTATATTAACCGTTATTGTTCATGGTATTCCTTGACAAAAAACGTGTTGAAAATAATAATAAATACCTCAAAATGTAAGAACGTGATACATTGCTTAAAGTCTTATCGGTATTTTCTGTACTTGATTCATATGGGGGTTCCAATCTTGATTCAATCAGAGATCTACCTTTTAATCCTCGTACTTGTGTTCCCCAATTAGGAATTTTCTCAATGGATGCAGATATTCTCAACATGTTCAATAATTTCCTAATGCGATGTTCGTTAGAAATTCTTGGATATTCACTAATTGAATTTTGTGAATCTGATATACTTAAACTTGAATCACTGTCTGAAACTTCACAATGAAACACCCTCAGATGTAAATTTTTCCATACAGATACCATGTTGATAATGCATGCAAGTTGAAGCATAAATAATGATGTTGTATCGAATGGATCTTGATCTGTTGGTTGAAAAAAGTTTACAGGCCATACATCAATATATTTTAAGTTAGAGTTCCTAGAAAAAAATTTCTTTATAGTAATCATTATAATTGTAAATAATTCAATGATATGCATTACTTACAAAATTAAATACCGACTATATTATTTAATAGCGAAACTATTTGCGCACTTACTTTGTTATTTGCGATTTATTTAATGTATGGAAGTTTCTACACACGCATAAATTTTTTTTCATTTTTAAAACATCTGAACACATTCCAACGTATTGTACTGGATCCAAATTTTTATCCGTATTTGATTGTCTAAGTGGGAATGCAGTACTATTTGGAAATGTTGAAACATTCTTGAATGTGTCTGTTGCATATTGAGAATTTGTGAAAAAATCTACTTGCGTTTCTTCGTCATAAAAACCAAGAACAATTGTATTTGGTTTCATTGCTCCCATTCCAGATATTCTTATTAAATGATGTAATCCTTCACGTACAGTTTTTGTGACTGTCAATTCAATGAATGCTTTTACTTTCATGTGATCAACTAAACTCAACCAATGTGGATATTCTTCTATGGTAGGGTCAATATTTTGACCCGAAAATTCTCCAACTTTTACGTGCCCAATTACATAAAGTCCACCTTTCTTCAAATCATTTACAAAATCTATAAGTGGACATGCTGATCGTGGCGAAGCTACCATTAAAAGCATTTGTGGTCGCCAAAACTTCACATGGTCTTTGCGCGAATCGAGCATTAATAAATATTTCCTAACTTGATGGAATATCAATGCCTGTGATATACTTCCCCACGGCGCATTTTTACTCGGAGAAAATAAATGCAGTACAATAATTAATATCAAGCATAGTATTATGCTACTGGAAGCATAAATGCTATTTATAACGAACATCATTATTAATGTTCCGAAAAGTCCAATTGTCGCTGTGTGCCACGTAAAATAATTGAACGTTGGTCTGTAAAATAAAGTACAAACATATAAAATGTATAATACTAAACATTGACGTTAATACTTAATGTAACACAAGTTCAAATAAAAAGGTACCTAAAGTTTGGAGCACTCGCGAGCTCAAGTCCAAGACAAGCCAAATTGGTAGCTAAATAACTTAATAAAAACAATACCGAATTAATTTGAGCAATAGTGTTCAAGGAACCTACAAGTAAAATTATTTGAACCAATGTCCATGATGTAAAAACTGCAGCAATTGGATTTCCTTTCCAAGTTCCTTGTGTTACAAAGTTTAATCCAGATCCTGCAAATGTTGAAAGTATAGAATATAAACAAGGTGAATAAATACAAAAGATAACTTGTAGAAATTTCAAAATTTGATTTACCAAAGACATTATCTTTTGCTAATGCTTCCAGTACTCTACTAGATCCTATTAAATTACTTAATCCAGCACTAAATGTTGCGGTTAATATACCAACTGCTACAAATGGTGGCCAAATATTAATCGGCATCATGTACATAAAATCATTTTGCAATAAAAACCGACTTGTACTGGCAGCTGTTAGAATAGATAAAAGAATGTAACATATAAATGTAAACAATACAGCCGATAAAGTTCCACGTGGAATGTTTCTCCCTGGATTTTTCAATTCCCCTATAAACAGATATAAAATATTTAATACTGAAGTGTACAGAAAGTATAAATTAATAAACTACCCTGGAAATTACCACTCATGTTAGCTCCAGCCATTATACCAGTTACCCCACTGAATAATACACCAAAAACACTGGCAAAATCAGTCATTACTCCACTACTTGAATAATCCTGACTATAATTTGAATACAGGTTACTCACAAGGGTAGATGATAACAACCCTGTATAACTACCATTAACATGGGCAGTTGCATTCTGAACCAGTGTATTTGCATCTGGAATTGGTATCTACAATGAAAACAATAGTATGAATAAGTATTCACAAGTATACCACTATAATAAATTTGTTTAAAGTTTACATTATTACCTCCATAGATCCTTGTGCCAAAAAGCTTATAAAAACACTAGACAAACAAACACAAACAACTGCCAAAATAGCAACACTTGTTTTTGCAAACATTGTTGCTCCTATTAGGCATACTAATAAGTTGGCAGTGTTTAATACGGAACAATATAAGAATCGCCACCATCTACCATCTGGAATAAGTGCACTCTTGCCAGCCAAATAACCAGATGGCCCAAAATTTTCTATCAATCCTTCTGCGCAGCCAGAGATACAAAGTGCACTTGATACAATGTTGGCCATAAAAAATAATGTACCGATTGAACCACCAAATTCTGGTCCAAGAGTACGACTAATCATGACTGTATAATAATTAATAAGGAAAATTTATTACTGGTTTTACAAAATCTTAATATAAACATTATTTTAACTATTTAAAAAAGATATACAATATTTCTAATATATTACACAAGCTGTCATTATAAATAATTGTAACTTTGAATCTTATAAATTCTTTCAGGCTATGAATTATTATTTGAATAAGGATACTCATAGTTACACAATGTGATAAAAAGCAATATATGTAGTTTTATGTGTGTTAGTTGCAACGTTGATTGATACATTATCCCTGAATAGCATATATTGTTGCTCAATGACTCACTAATTATCACAGATACTAAAAATATTTCATAACAATAAATAATTATCTGTCAAGGATACAATAAGCACCTCCTCCCTCAACTGCTCCATTTGTTGAAATTGCACATACAGATGCTACAGTGAACACCAAAATTCCATAAGCAATTACAAATTGTGTCAAAGTTACAAGTAATCCTGCATTGCCCACAATATATCCTGGAATGTAGAATTGATATTACAATGTAGAATTAATGGGAAAGTACTTTTTTTCATTAATTAACTATACAATGTAAAAATACCCATTCGTATAAAAATTAAGGCACTGAACATGGATAATGTGACTGGACTAAACACACCGGCAAATGTTCCCAAAGTACGACCACTATCTGTGCCCAAACTACCAAATTCAACATATCCATCTCCTTCAGTGTGCAGAACTCTACCAATTCTGAAGAAATTACTTAATCTGTGAAGAACACTTCTCCCATGAATTAGTGGAGCCTTTTCACTTCCAATCTTAATGTGTACAGGTTCATTGTTTGTTGAACCTATTTCTGATGCTATCATTTTTTGTATTCCCTGAAAAGATAATTTTTAATTGAATGTATACATATATATACATATATACACACATATAAACAGGTAATTAATGCACAAAAACATAAAACTACGTGATTCAACTTGTTTTATACAAAGATTTCTAACAATGAATATAAATGCATGAAGACATAAAATGATAACAGAATATATGTAACATACATATATATTTAGTGATTTGATTTCTTTATCTAAATAAGCTACGTGGATTACTTGGTCTTATATTAATTTACGTACTTGTTTCGTTATTTACATAACACAATACAAAACTATCGTTGAACGTAATTAAATCACGAACTTATTATGATGTCATCCATAGAAATGTCAAACAGCGACTGACTACATAGCGGAACACTTCGAGGTTAATAAACTCATATCAGGAAATATGTACTAATTACTAATTTTCCACTTAACTCACGTTTCTCGAGATAAGAGAATTATCTTAACTTTATAATTATTAAGTATAAATTTGCTTGATATATTATGGGAATTCCTTACTTGAATACGCATAAAATCTTTTATCTTAAATATGTTTGGTATTAACCATAAAAAAATTTCATTATAACATAACGGATCAGCATATATATGTACATAATTTCGTAATTGCAGAACATTTTATTGACACAACAAATGCATCACTTTTGTACGAAATAGATAAGTACTATATAAATATATACATATGTAGATATTATCTGATATTGTTCGTACACTATTGAAATTATATGAAAATTCATGTTTTGTGAATCAAATAATACGCGTTACCAATATTGTTAGCAAATTTTGGTTTGAATTTTCTTTAGACCCATTTAGACCAGAATATTATGTACATACATACATACTTACATACATATGTACATAAATTGGTATATATATATATGTATATAAATAACATATATTACATAAATATATGTGTACATACATATATTATGTATATATGTACACATATAGTCTAAATGTTTCTTTTATATAATATTGATGATTTTTAGTAATTTTGATATTTAATTTACTATTTAAATAGAAGAATCATACGAAGAGTCATTCCAACGCGCCGGAGAGGGCTCATCTTGTGACATTTAAAATCAAATTTCATGTAAACCATTATATTGAACAAGAAAATGGTTATGTACATAAGAAAATCAGCTTTACCATTATCACGATCGATTACAAAAAATTTTACGTTAATTCGTCAAATGAGCATAGATCCGAAATTAGATTCTGTAAAATCCTTGTTTTACAAAGAATATGGAGAACCTGCAGATGTTTTACACATTACAACACAAGCTATTAATCAACCAGAAAATAATCAGGTAATTAATTATTTCAGGAAGAAAGTAATTAGTAAATTACTGTATAAGAATCTGTCTTGTAATCGTTCTAACTATTTGTTATGAAACAATTACATGAATCATTCTTTGTAAAGGTTTCTGTAAAGTGGTTATTAGCACCTGTTAATCCAGCAGATATAAATACAATACAAGGCAAATATCCAAGTAAACCACCTTTACCAGCTATTCCAGGAAATGAAGGAGTTGGTGAAGTAATAGCTATCGGATCTAATGTGAAAAACCTAACAGTTGGTGACAGAGTTATTCCAAATGGTACGAATTTAGGAACATGGAGAACACACGCAAATTATAATTCAGATGAGCTTATGAAGGTAAAATAACAATTTAAAAAATAAAATTAAATGTTCAGTTTATGTATTGTTGCATCAATGTTATAACTCATATCAAAATTTCAGATTCCAAAAAATGTTGGAGCCATAGAAGCTAGTATGTTAAATGTAAATCCATGTACAGCATATAGAATGTTAAAAGACTTTGTATCATTGACACCCGGAGATACTGTGATTCAAAATGGTGGAAATTCTGCAGTAGGACAAATGGTTATACAATTATGTAAAACATGGAACTATAAATCAGTCAGCGTTGTCAGAGATAGACCAAATATACAAGAACTAAAGGTAGATGAATACTAATGTGTTAAGTTTGTAAATCCCTATGTAATACTGGAAATCTTTTTAGGATCATTTGACCAAATTGGGTGCAGATGAAATATTGACTGAAGATGAAATAAGGAAAACACAAATTTTTAAAAGTAAGAAGTTACCATCACCCAAATTAGCTCTTAACTGCATATGTGGACAAAATGCATTAGATTGTTTGAGGCAGTTAGCACATGGAGGTATTATGGTAACTTATGGTGGTATGTCTAGGGAACCTATAACAGTTCCAACTTCAGCACTTATTTTTAAGGTAATTATAATTTGTGTAATAACTTATATTGTTCTTAAATCTGAGACAAATAATAATAATTCAATGAAATGTATAGGATATAACTTTAAAAGGATTCTGGATGACAGCATGGACAAAGGCAAATATGAATTCCAAAGAACGTGTAAACATGTTCACTGAATTAGGAACATTATTCCAACAAAAGAAATTAAAAGCTCCACCACATAAGTTAATTCCATTTTGTCAGTTTCAAGAAGCAGTTATAAATGCACTTAACATTGATGGTCGAACTGGTGTAAAGTATATTTTAGATATGACTAAATCTTAAAGTGATTTTTTTTAAGATAAGAATTTTTTAGTTTCTTAATAAAACAGCCGCGTTTCATGTATATTTATAACTCTTACATGCTAAAAATAATATTGACACATTCGTTGTGTTATAAAGGCTTTTTAATTTTAAATGTGATACATACACTGTTATACATTTTTAAGTAAGATTTTGTGCAGTATGCAATAAACATAATATTAGATGTATCAATAAAAAATTGTTGGCATATTACAAAAAGTATTGCCATGTTACAGTCATGGGCGTAGCCAGGTTATCAGTCGGGAGGGGGGCAAAAATATTAACACATCGACTGCTACAGTGAAAAAGGCCGTACGTAGCCAGACACATTTTATTTTGTTTCATAAATTCTTGAAAATGTATGCGTTTTATTAATAGAGGCTGTTGGTCGTATTTCAAATTATACTGCAATATTAAATGTTATGCAAAAATTTTGTAACTCAGGCAAGGGGGAGAGGGAGGTCAAAATCCAATTTTTTTCTTGTAGGATGGGGCAAAACACACCTTTTTCCGTCCTGGGGAGGGGGGGGAGGTGTGGCAACTAGCTACACCCAATGTCAGAGTTACATGTAGAAATATTTATTTATACCGAAAGATAGTTGTATATAAGTATAGACAAAATGTACAAGTTTAGTTTATTTATTATATAACTTAAAAATATGTCATACGAAACTATTCTATGTTCTCTAATATGTCCAATATGAACATTTGGTTTTCTAAGTCTTTAATGTTATCTTCAGAAAAATCTGCAAGCACATTATCAAGTTTTGCTTTATAATCTTTATTACATACTGTTTTTTCATTTTTTGTAGTATCTGCATTACTTGTATTATCTTCTTTAGAATCAGAATTATCTTGTTCCATATTTGTATTATCATGATCATTATTTAAAAATAAATTCAAAGTAAAAGGTCTTTTATATGTAGTTTCTTCAGTTCCCAGTTGAACAGCTAACATACCAAGTTCTGCTTTTGCACCACAATCTTTCGAATAATCTTGATGCTCTTCCTTTAGTGTTAGCTTCAACATTTCAGAAGTCATTGCATACCTGTGTGACAATTATTTAGTATGCTTGTAATCCAACACGATTGAAATTGTCTTTGTTCTCTACTTACATGTTTTTACCTAGTAAAGTAACACGTTCACCAAAAAGATTGAATGAGCCACCAATCGTTTTGCGATGCATATCCCGCAATTTCATATCAGAAAAACTACTCCTGTTTTCTTCGTATTTTTCGTTATATCTACTAGACGTTACATTAAAAGTGCCATCATCATTTTGTAATCCAAACCTAAGAAGGATAGATACCCTTACACAATATGATTCTAATTCTTTCAAGCAGTTATTTCTGATATTCCAGACTTCTTCACAAGTTAAGTCTTCAAATATCTATAGAACGAATAATGAATTATTTATATAAAATTAGCATAAATAAATAATTTAATTGGAATACAAAATACTTACATCAATCACCATCTGATGTAACATCCCAAGACATCGTTGTACTGTCGGATTACTGACCATATCACGCATTGCGTCTGTGTGATTTAACGTTAATAGAATAACTTCTTTAGGGCCGGTAGCTGCAGTTAATTGATATTTAACCATCATAATCATTAGATCGAATAGTTTATTCATGCTATTTGTATCTAGTTTTACTATGGACGATAATACAACAGCCTCTAAAGTGGATCTTATGGCAGGTATTCCATTCATATATCCTTCCTCAAATATAGAACATAATATTTTAGGATTGAATAAAGCAGCAGTTACACCTTCTATCACTAAAAATAGTGATAGTAATCTCATTAACTAGGCGAAACATTGTATATTGATATTGTATAAAAGTTGAAAAAAATTCATTTAAAATGTAAATTCACATTATAACATACAAAGAATGGTAACGATATATAGCGTACATTTCTTTTGTTAATTATAAATAATATACTTATTACAAAAGAATTAAACACTAGCCTTGTACAGATTTATCAACACTAATCTTCTGTGCTTTCAGTCTTTGCTGTAGAACATATAACATTTCGCCACCCATATTTAAATAAAGGATTGGTGTTACGTAGTTAGACATTTTTTTATTAATATTTTTAACGTTCACTTTCACTAAGTACTGAATGTTTTTACTATTCAAGACACGTAAGGATTACCATGTCCATACCGTTGTCCTGACGACAATCGTGTACATAAAAATTAATTGACGCAGTATATTTAGAGACTGCGCGACATTTCGCGCTTTGTAGCCGCGAACAACCGCCCTTACAATTCTAAATTATTAAGTCGCGTTACAAGTAATGTGAATCTAATATACAGCAACGAAGAAAAGTCGCATTACTTACTAGATGATTTGATGTACTACGCTGCTATACTGTATAGTGTATAGCATTAATGAGTTCAATTATTCCTACATCCGAAGCTAGACACTAAATAATGTTACTGGAAATACTTATATTCTTAATATTTGAAAATAATCAATAGAAACATATTTTTATCATTAATTTATTTCTCAAAACATATTAATACTTTTAATAGCAGTAAGTTATTATAATTGTATACATTAACTAGAAAAAATGTCTAACTTATAATAATTAATAATTTAATAGTCTCAACAAACATAGTATTTAGCGAAGAATGAAATTTTAAGTAACAATTTTTAATCTCCTGGTTTCAGTCTATAACTTCAACAATACTAATTATACAAAACTATTACATTCAGAATGAAAGACGTTCTTACAATTGTTATTTTTATTTTATAACTTGATAGAAATATTCATTTCAGTAAAAAAAAAAGAACGATTATTATCTGCACTATACATTAAAACAAATATTAAATAATTAATATTAATAGTTGCCTCTGTAACAGTACAAATAACAGTAACATTAATCAGTTATAAAATAATATAATTGGACGGTTATATGTAACAAAAGATATTGTATTCCGCATTTTTATAAAATATCTTAAGTCTATGTCGAAAATTGGCTCAGTTAAATGGAACGGTTTAGATTGTAGAAAGAATTTCGTAGCCCGTTTCCTTCAGTTTTTTAATTCAGTTGTCATCTTTCAGTTTGCTAATTATAAATTACTAATGTATGTAGATTTCTTTTCAACAAAATACGCCATGCATATTGGTCAGTCTAATATTAAATCTATAGTATGCTCTATTGCACAGGCATATTCTCCTTCCATTTTGTTTTTTGTTATAATTATGTCAGTTTAAGTACAATTTTTTAGTACTATTCAACAAATGTTAATGAAACCATTACAATATGTATTTATAATTTGCTAATAAGTACATAAATTCCATAACAAAAGTTGAAGTAATAACAAACAAAGAAGATATCAGTATGTAAGTTTTTTACAGAGACGTGAAAACTTTTTAAGTAAATATGAATGTATAAACAAACAATGTGCTAAAAATCAAATACAATATGTAATGGTATTCAATATTCCCCTGAAAATTGTAAACGATACCATTCAAAAATTTACAAGTACCTTGTATATAAGTACATGCGACTGTATAACATTCTATTGTATACATTATTGCACATTATAAAGATAAGATTTTTACAGGTGTTAAACTTAAGTTTAATATTATACTTAAAATAAAATTATTTCATGTATATGAAAGAAACATCTAATTCGACATGAAATTCATTTGATTGTATGTCTTATATACAGAGTATAATTTATATAATATTACGTCAAATTATACTATGCAACAAATTTTGAAGTACATGGATATGCCAGTTCTAAAATGTTTGAAACAAATTTAGAGAAATCATTTGAATTGTAACCTCATTTGTACAAATGCAAATAATCAGTAACGTCACTCCTGAATCAACATGTTTCAACATATTAAAATTATCAGTAAATAAAAGTCAAATAAAAGTATCATTTTTGATTTTTACACTGTTTACTGAAAATAGGTAAACATCGTGCCTTGTTTTGAGAATACTTATGTATATATTTTATAATACACGGATATAATTAATTTTTTCACTCCTTGCAGAAATATCACAATTGTTTCTCATTTTCTATATATATATGTATATATATCTTTTTTCTTAAGAAACTTGAAGAAATCACGTCATTTTATTTCAGTAATGTAATGATTAACTCAATAATATTTAGGAATTTTTCGAAACACGTTACTAAAAGAACCTTCTTTCTCTGAGAGAGAGTATTAACATAATTTACAATTTAACTTATAAATTATATGTCCAAGTACCTTTCGCCGATTGAATGTAACGAAAAGGAACAATCGTGTTTCTTACGTCGGGACTTTTCGACCTTCTCACACAATCTTGGCTTAAAACTCTACACCCCGGGCTCAAAGTCAAACCAGTGTATCCACCTCGAGGAATACTATCACTGCTCGCCACTCTTCTAACGTCATTGGTTTTTCTATCTTCGTAATTACCAACTACTGACATCAAATTATCTGGTACAGAGTCCCTAAGTTTATACGCACATTGATTGTTTCCAAGATACCTCGGACTTGGATCTATTGATACATTTTTTGGACTTCGCATCATCAAAGAAGCGTCCATGCATCCATTACGACGAATTTGACGTTTGTCAGTAGTGTCATCGATCAAATGCCGGTCACATGTGTTTTGGTCAAGATTACAATTAGCATCATTATCAGCGCACTGGCAAGGAATTATCGTAGAATCGAGAGAATCTGAGAATTCTGGACTTGGAATTGAAGAAATACTGCCCATATGAGAGAAGGCGACCGTCCCCTGAGGGTTTTGGGGACGGTGTCAGAAACATCATTCCTCTAACTCGTCCATTCGATTTCTAACGGCCATTTCTACCACTTCTAAACTTGGATAATCAAGTTCTTTAACTAAGCATAATACAGCTGATAGTATATTCGAATTCTAAAATCAAAAGATAAAGAATGTCTTGTCTGTACTCCACTTTACCAAGCTTACACAATGATTAAAAAACATACCCTTGTGACAGGTCTTCTGTGATAATGAAATTGTGACCTACATTTTTCTTTCTCTGAATGTCTCACCCATCCAGGTACTTGATTCGAATCTTCCTGTAATTTTACAAAATTATTTCATGTCTTATTTCAAATACATTTGAATTAAAGTCTCTAGCAGCATTGATTCTGACCCTCTCAACATTAGGATGGACTGCCGTTCTTCTAGGTTGAGATGGCGGCTGTTGTTCGTCATATTCTGTCTTTATTCTTTGGTCATGCTGTTCTTCATAATCTGGCTTGAATCTATTATCGTATTCGTAATTATTTCTATCTGAACGTCTGTCATCCATGGATTCATTCAGTGAGTATTGCGTACGTGGAGACGTTGGTGCATATGCACGTTGAGGTGTTTCATTATTACTATATTCTGTATAACTTCGTCTTTCGTCATATTCACCGTTATGTCTTGAAACTGCTGGTCGTTCGTCATATTCCTAAAAATTACAAAAACACAATGAAATTTTGACATATTACTTGGGAACCTGTATTCAATCATTTGTATTCAATTATTCTAAGATGAAGGAAGTATTATAAAAGTACTTAATTTGTGATTTGATTAATTTGCTTCTAAATCTAAATCGAAATTTCAGTACTTAAAAAAATATTACAATGTAACATAGCATATAAACAGTAATTCGCCAGAAACAAAACACATTTAATTATCAAAAATGTATAATTAAGTGCCACGTTCTTCAGTGAATCACCCTGTTACACATGCTATATATATATCATTCTTTTTAGTACCTTCCTTTTATGTACAATCTACTTGCTAAAACTAATTCCAATTATAATAATGCCACAAACTGATTCATTATACTGGCATAAATATAACTGATGAATAGAATTACTATTAATATAACACTAATAACAAACTATTACACTGCACAAGAATTGTGCAATTCTATAAAATATACCTTAATCATTTCAACAGTGTTAGTGTTCACACTTTCACTGACGTTGCGTGACTCTGTACGTACAGTGTCATCTTTGCTGTGACTCTTTGACTGTCCATTCTGTAGCTGTTAGTATATAAATGCAGATAAGGAAGCAATGATATAATCAAGCTCATTTAGTAAGAATTCAGTTAGTTTCAATTATTCTGCCCAGAATTACTAAATGAAAAACTTCATATCATACTAAATCTATCAGAAATATGGAAGCAATTAATTGACAATCTAGATATAATGAGAATAATTTGATTCCATGTATATTTTTGTAACAAAGGAATAAGTTAATATAGAAGTATATTCACGCAATTATATATATGTATACATATATTAATCGGCTGACTTACTTCATATGTATACTGATTGTTTTGCGAATAACGATGAGATGGTGATGCATTATAGTTTGCATTCCTACGATCTGATTCATGATATTCTTCTTGAGTGTGCTGTGTTTCTTCAAAGCTTCTCTGCAAACAAGCACTGAGATAAGAAAATACTTTCTATTATAAAACAGTATAAAATATTATAAAAATAGTTACGACAAGTACTTATAAACACGATTATTATAATAAAATTGTTGTAACGAAATTAAAGTTATAACCGAATGTAAAAAAAAAGCAGATGAAAACTTAAACTTCATATTACCTGATCGCTTGAGGAACTATATCTTCGATGACGTATCACTTCTGTTTCTTCGATATATTCAGTGACAATATCCTAATTGCGTAAATGTTATTGAAATGTTATGATGTTTGTTAACAGACATATTAACATGACAGTAGGTATATGTTTTGACAAACTTATTTTAGTAGTATTAAGTAAAACCGCAACTGTACCGATAGGAACTAGAAAGATTAAACCTAGAAGCAATCTACGAATTATGTAGGAAAACACTGGCTCCTGCTTTGAATAATTGTAACTAATCTACATATATAACAAATTTCATCAATTACAAGCACAAACTGCTGATTCAATATCAGTATCTACACCATGGTCTTAAAGAACATCTCCTTTACATTGTGGGACACCACAAGTCTAATCTTTTCAGTTTTTCATCAAGTAGTAGGTTATCATCAATGATCAATATATAATATATAAGATATTTCAGCTAAGATCAAACACCTAAGTATTTCCTTTATCTTTAATCATTTGAGAAATGTTTCAAACACACAGTTTGAATGATTTCAAAAAAGTAGTATCGTAAATTTTTATATATATCGTCGCCCAAGTCCTTAACTGTTCTAACTCTATTATAAAAAAAAAATTTAGTTAATCTACGTGCGTCTCATTGGTCCAAAGAATACAAATTCACGGTAATATAAAGAAAATTCAGCCTAGAAAACAATAAATATTCTTTTAAATCCTAAATCCAAAACTTTGAGTTTTTTTTCTTAATAGTTGTATCTCCAAATACTAACAATAATGAAACATTTCTGTTAATAATAAGATAAAATTTTGTTGAATATTGTAATAAATAGCTACTCAGTAGACGATATTATAGTATGTTTGATTATGTCACTACTTTTCTGCTTCTATAATATTAAACTTTGTAAACTTTAAACTCAATTTTCTCAGTTTACAAATTAATGGAGATAGAACACTTAAGAACTAGAAAAACAACATAAATAAATAGATAAATATATATGTATAATATTAATAACAAAAATAAATGAATATTTTACAGAAAACACTCCATGATAAAATAATTGAGTAAATGTTTTACAAAAATGCGATATTAAATATTGTTTAATGAGTAATCTTACTTCTGGACTCACTGCATCTGACTGAGGTGGAGATGCATCAATATCAAGAGGATGAACCAAAATATGGCCCCTTGTTAATGCTGTTTGCACTTCTTCTGCTGACACTACTTTGTCATCAAGTTTTTGTAAATTTGGCAAAGCTCTGAGAACTGCTAACCGATATCTAAAAGAGAATTATTTTTTATTTAAAGCTGTCTTGAAAGATTAAATTATCTCTGTAATAATAATTATTAGTCCAATGTATATTACCCTTCTTTGTCTGCACAAGGATTTTCACCGAGCCATAAATTTCGTAGGTTTGGTAAACCTTGAAGGTAACAAACTTCATTTAAATCTTTAATATTGTTCTTTCTTACAAACAAATCCTGAAGACTTTGGCAATATTGGAAATCGGCAAGCGTACTGATATTATTCACACTGGAAATAAGTTTGAATAATGTAAATATGTCCAATAATATTTCATTTTAAAATAATAAATAAATACATCATTGACAAATAAAGGTACATTTCACTTTATATGTACACTATATTTATTGTACTTAATGTTAACTACAACATTGTATACTTTTTCTTAGACATAAATCTTAAATTAATATTTCAACAATCAATGATCGATTAAAAATTATATTCATTATTATAAGAATCATATTACATAAACATAATTAATGTTATAAGGACAATTTATATATACAATATAAATATATTACACGCTTGAGAATATAACATAAAACCAACCTTACTACAAAAGTGTCAGATAAAAAGTCGCATGTATGTACATACACAAGTTGGTTAAGATAAAATGTAATTATTTGTTGAAGAAATGTTTAATCATAAAACATAAAATACCTTTTCATGTTATATACAGTAGGAAAGTAAACTGCATTATTTATCACACATTACTCTGACTGATAATATAATTTCAGTTTCCAAGACTAATTTGCATTACTATGATTCATAAAAAATATGCAAAATATTTAATCTCTTTATAGAGAAACATTACATGCATTCATTTATGTAAAATTAATTTGTTATTCTCTCATCATAGTGAGATATATTACAATGAATTCAAAATGTGTGGGTAGAACAAGTTTACTATGTGTAGGCTGTGCTTATGATCTTGAGTTTTTCACAAACCTATCCATAGTAGGAGTGCATTAGAATTTTTGTGATATGAACAGATTTAAGTGACTTGGATCATTCCTATGAATAACACGATTCTTATAATTATACTTTATTACAAAATATATGACAAAGTTGAAACATTAGTTTATTATATTTCATTCAAATCACTTACCTCAACGACAGTACTTCCACGTTTTTCATTTTTCGTAAAATAGTCACATCGGTCAGTTCTGTACCCCTATAGTAACAATAAATAATAAGACTTATAGTAACACAATATAGAAACAATACTTTAAACAAATATGACAATGAATTTTAAATACATGTAATGTTTACATTTTATCATATTGAATACTGTTAGTTGCATAGCTTATTTAAGAATTATAAAATGGTTTTAGACAGACAGAATGCACTGATTTGTATCTCTTACATTTTCAAGTTTATTCCAAATACAATTCAAGTATTAATATTTTGTCACCTGAATATGTAAATGTATTATCTTCTTTTAAACGAAAATAATATAAAGAGTAACAAGTAAAATAGTTTACAAAACACTTATCGATGAAAAAGATAAAAAGATACGGTAAAGTATATTTTAGGTTGTGACAATTGTCTCTCCAACGAGAATACCGTAAAAAAACTGTAAATTATATAGCTGCATCTATTACAAGAAATACTCGGAACATGGAACTTGTCATTTTAAAATTGTAAGATGTATATACCAAGTAACGACTGTAGAACACTTAACAATCCATTTGAAAAATGTAACATCTTTTCAAATACTTACCAACAATTAAGTTTCTTCACAGCAGAGAAATCGGACACTCGTGTCCGAGCCACGACCATCTCCTCCGTTAACTTCACCATAATGAAATTTTTGATTTATACAGAAATACTAAAAACAAAACAACAAGAAGAGGCCCTACGAAAGTTGGAAATTATTGCGAGAAAAACGCAACTTAAACCATCACGATGAATTTTTCAACTGCAAATTAAAGACGCAACCGAGACCCATCGCCATGATGGTTTGTCGTCGACTAATTGAACAATATGGTATGGACGTATGTATGTACGCCCACGAGCAAAGTCGGCTTCCACTAGGGGAAAAAGTGACGTAGGGGAAGGACCTCCTGCTATTTGGTTTCGGGAATAATTGAAATGTATGTCAAATTAACATTCAATTTAACATTTATTTCAGTAATTAGAATAAGTTTACCAAGTTGTAGGAGAAGGACCTGTATATATATATATACACACACACATTATTATATAACTATACATTTTATATATATATATAATATGAAACTGTATATATATATATAAGCCTATAAAAAATATTGTTTTAAAGTAACAAAAAAATAAGGTATACAAAATGATTCATACAATATCATTTAATTAATTGCACAGTACAAGGAATTTTATAATTCCTTATATTAGATTATTAGAACAATAAAATAACTATGTAGGAGAGTATCTGTCTCTGGATGTGTGTTCTATTCTACATACTTTCATTGTTCCTAGCCTTTCAACATAACCCGTTTCAGAAGTTATTCTTGTTCTCATAATGTATAGCAATGTATACCTTCATATCGTAGTTCAAGAAACGAAATGGTGAATAAATGTTGTTGATAATACTTATATGATAACACGTGTCAGAAACTGTAAGAAATCGAACATAAAGATCTGATGATCATTTGATTTCCTTAAAAGTGTTCATGACTTCTGATAGTAAGAAAATGCAGAAGATTGGAAAATTGAATTCGTCGATTGATATCATTCCCCTGCAAGGATCTAGCGGAGATCAGAAATCGAAGGCTATGAATAATAAACAGAGAGTTGATTTTTCTCATAGATATCTTCGGGATCAGTTGCTAATTTCGCGTGTTCAAACGGTAAATCTACATCTACATTTTCTACATTTACAATTTTTTAGCTATATAGACAACACACATCTGAGATGCGGACTTTGCGCGGTAAATTTGCGTATTGACATTTAAGATATATAAAGCGAAACAAACTTAGAAGCTATTTCAAATATTTATTTACATCTGCATACGAAACTTTTACTAAGTATCTATACACTTTTTAATATACGTGAATATTTACAAAAATAAAATGCAAAACAGAACTGAGTGAAATTGTTTTCTACCAGTATAAGTTGTGGATGACGTATACAAATAAAGTATATACTATTTTAAGTATAATGAAATGTATTTAGTACACTTATTCTGTTTTTTTATGAAAACATATTTTATTCAGTTTTAATGGAAAGTTTTTAATTAAATATATTGTGTATATTGTTTCTAATTTTTAGTATATGCATGAAAATGAAAACAAAGTTTATATTGATGTTAATGAAATGGCAGACGCATTACAAAGAAAATATCGAGATTATCATATTAAGAAACGAGGTCCTTTTAGAGCTCTAGTACGCAAAGCATACGATGAACTCACAGAGTTGTTTGCAAAAAAGCATTCTTCTCGTGATTGGCCTGCTTATGATGATGAGGACGAAGAAGAGGAAGTTGATATTGAAGTATTAACATATAAGTTATTTGACTATTGTTTTTGATAACAAGTCTAAAAAGAAATATGTTTGTTTTAGTCAGATCCTCAAAATAATATGTTGGGCGGTATATTGTTAAAAATGTATAAGAAGTCACAAAACAAACAAAATGGAAATTCTAGTGACAAAGAACTGATAGATATCAGTAGTGATGATGATGGAAGCAAAGTGGAATCAAATGCTTGTAATAAGACTGAGGAATCTGCAGCTACAGATAAGAATACACAGCAAAAACCAGGTCCATCTTCTCATACAGAAAAACCTATACCTGCTAAGGAAGCTGAAGAAACAAAAACAGTAAAATTTAATCTGCATTAAAGTAATATTATGAATATTTTCATTGTTCTTAAATATATTGCATAATTTGTATATTTGTAGTCTGTAAAAGAGGCACGGCAACAAACTGCAGCAGTTGGTGCAGCAGTAGAACCATTTATTAGAAAAAGACAACGTGATAGAGATACCGATAATTATCCATTTACATTCACAAAAAAAGCAAAAGGGGTACCGATTTCAGAACCAAAAGTCACATTTACAGATATAGGAGGATGTGATAAAGTTTTAAAAACTGTATGTAAACTACTTGCCCATATGAAGCATCCAGAAATCTTTAAACAACTTGGTATATCACCACCAAGAGGATTTTTGCTTCATGGTCCACCTGGATGTGGAAAGACATTATTGGCATATGCTATTGCAGGAGTAAGATTTCATTATAAATTATTATATTATATTTTCCATTTCTTTATTAACTTTTTTTATTTCAAATTTAGGAATTAGGAATACCTCTACTAAAGGTAGCAGCACCTGAACTTGTAGCTGGAGTATCAGGAGAAAGTGAAGCACGGATTCGAGATTTATTTGAGCAGGCACTCGCAATTTCACCTTGTGTTATTTTCATAGATGAAATCGATGCTGTTGCACCGCATAGAGCTACTGCTCAGAGGGAAATGGAAAGGAGAATTGTTGCACAGTTATTATCGTGTTTAGATGGTATATTACTATTACTATTGCATTATGTTAATTATATTTGTCTTCAATTTTAATTTTCAAACAAAGAATAACATTTTATTTAACAGAATTAAGTTTAAAGGAGAATGGCACTGGAGTATTGGTTCTTGGAGCAACGAATCGGCCTGATTCATTGGATCCAGCATTAAGAAGAGCTGGTCGTTTCGATCATGAAGTATGTCTTGGTATACCGGACAGGGAAGCAAGAACAAAAATTTTAACTGTACACACAGAAAAAGTGGCACTTGCTGCCAATGTTAGTTTATCTACAATAGCTTCACTGACACCTGGTTTCGTTGGGGCCGATTTAGTTGCACTAATTAGAGAAGCTGCTATGGCAGCTGTGGATAGGTAACTTACATAAATATTTTGTACATATAGAAAAAAAAAATGTATTGGATGTGATTAATTATACCATAACTTATTATGTCGTTACTAGGATACTTGAAGATGTAAACAGATCAGAAGCTGATATTAAAGTATCCGAAACAAGAGAAAATGAACCTGGTACTGAGAAGGAAAATTTTGAAAACACTGGTGACTTAGTTGAAGAAGTAGCAATTGAATCATCCTCTTCAAATCAAGACAGTATCCCTAAATTAAATAAGACAAGCAATCCTGAAAGTCCCCAAGCGCCAGTAGAGATGGATGTGATACAAGAAAATTCCAAATCTCCAGATTTGGCAGGATTACTTGCTTGGTTACGAAATGATCCACCACTTCCCTCAGAACGGCTAAGAAATTTATGTATCGAACACAGCGATTTTGAAACTGCTCTTCGCGTCATTCAACCATCTGCCAAAAGGGAAGGCTTTGCAACTGTACCTGATGTTACGTGGGACAATGTCGGTTCTTTAAGAGATATTAGAGAAGAACTACAAATGGCTATACTTGTAAGTACATGTATATATATTTCTATACAAAATATTCTGTAATTGTACATTGAAAATGTGTAAAATATTTATTTTTTGAGTCAACGTTTTTTCTTTTATTTGACATTCTAGGCTCCAGTTCGACATTCCGAACATTTTGCAGCCCTAGGATTAACAACACCTACTGGAGTATTATTGTGTGGTCCACCTGGATGTGGTAAAACATTGCTGGCTAAAGCAATAGCAAACGAAGCTGGCATCAACTTTATTTCTGTTAAAGGACCAGAACTTTTAAATATGGTAAGTATGTTAATTATTTGAACTAGCATTTTGTATTAAAGTGTAGTTATTAAAACGTGCATTTCTTGTATTTTAGTACGTGGGTGAGAGTGAAAAAGCAGTTAGACAATGTTTCTTGAGAGCACGAAATTCTGCTCCGTGTGTTATTTTCTTCGACGAGTTGGATGCCTTGTGCCCAAGGCGATCAGATGGTGACAATTCTGCTACTTCGCGTGTAGTTAATCAAATGCTTACAGAAATGGATGGAGTAGAAGGACGCCAAGGAGTATTTCTAATGGCTGCGAGTAATAGACCAGACATTATTGATCCAGCAGTGCTGAGGCCAGGAAGATTGGATAAAATTTTATATGTTGATTTGCCTACTGCGGCAGATCGTGTTGATATTTTAAGAGCCCTAACAAAGGTATTTTACAGTTCAATTATGAGGTAATGTTCACGAGGTCAGTCTTTGTCATAATGAAATTTATACTTATAGAATGCAACTAAACCAAAATTAGCTACGAATGTGAACCTTGAACAAATAGGATATAATAGCAAGTGTGATGGTTATACTGGAGCTGATTTGGCAGCTTTAATCAGAGAAGCTGGTGTAGAAGCATTAAGAGAATTAATGGATATACATTATTCAGGACAACCAGAAATCTCTATGCGTCATATTTTAGCTGCATTTGACAAAATAAGACCATCTGTACAGGAGAAGGTGAGTATTTTCAATTATTAATAAAAATAATTTTGCTTTTCTATCTGTAAACGAGATATTTTGACCACAAATTGCAACTTAATAGGACATAAAACACTATGAAAAGTTGAAGAAATTATATTCAATTAAAAAAAAATCTGACGAATCTCCAATGGAAACCCCAACAGATGCAGTTATAGTAGACGTAGTTATGGAACCTATGGAAACGTGAAATAAAAATATTACATCTGCATGTAACAATCTTCCACTATAAAATACTCTCTGAAACTGAAATAAGAAGTGTAAACACTGTATGCCTTGACTTTATTTTTATAGTCAAAGCACTTTAGTCTCCGCTAAGCGAAAACGTAGTTGCAATTCGAAACGTTGATTTAACTTTTAAAAATAGGAACTTAAGTCTATATTTTCCTTTATTTTTTAAATACTGGACATATACAATACGAACGTTGTCTTGGTACTTTTTCATAAAGAAATCAGGCCATGTTTATAAATTTTTTATAAAAGTAAATAAAGATTATGTTCGATATACTTTTGAGCAGTTTACATAATTGTTTTCATTACTTAAGTAATGAAAAAGAAATGTATACCTTTTGTAAATTGATACTACAATTTCATCAAGAATAAATAACTATATAGTTGAATATGTGTTTCCAAAATTATGTAATTTTCGTATCTGGATAAAAGAATAAAAAAGAAATTGTTGGTAATTTAATTCCTATGTATCACATCTCGATTGTCAAGGTACGCAATTATTTTAATATATAATTTATTATTCATATTTTATTATTATCTAAAAGATTTAATGTATACGCGATTTTTTCATGCATCACATTCTTTTTATTTCAAACAGTTTTGTATCATTACTAAAATATACATATACAGTACTCCTATCACTCAATTTCAAATTTAGAAACTCATAAATTAAGAAGTTTGAAAGATTGCTAACCTTAAGCTTGCATTTTTAAAATTCCAATTTTTGTTCCAGTAAATAAAAATGTAAGTATAAAATATGTCCTATGAAATGTAAATATAGAATTCTACTTGAAATTATATAATAAACATTTTGCTCCATATATAAAATAGAAATACATATTAGGAGGAATAATGTAAAAAATATGGAACACCTAAACCTGTCTTTCTCTTTTCTTCATAAATATAAAATATAGTATAATATTTGTTAAAGCAAACTAATTCATCACTGAACATGTGGCTCAGTAGTTCGATTTTGTACAATCCAAGGATGTCTCATAACATCTTCTAAAGGCAGTCTTTGATCTGGCTCAACAACTAGTAACTGAAAAAAAAATTTAATATCATAAAATGAACAAAATAAACTTTTGCAATGACCAATTTTAAATTTTAGTGCACCTTAGATATTAAATTCCTTGCACCTTCACTAACAAAGCCTGGAAATGTATATTGGGCTTTCTTGATCTTCATATATGTTTCATCATAACTTTTAGCATAAAATGGTGGAGTACCAACTAAACATTCATAACATAAAACACCAAGACCCCATAAATCCACAGTATGATCGTGTGTTTTCCCAACAACCATTTCAGGTGGCAAATAATCTAATGTGCCACATAAAGTGTTCCTTCTGGAAGCTGGAGCATGAACAGACCACCCAAAATCTGCCATTTTTAATTCACCCTTTATTCCAAGTAATAAATTTTCGGGTTTAATATCACGATGTATAACTTTTTTACTATGACAATATTTCAGAGCATCTGCTAATTGCGATACATATGTAGCTGTTCTAACTTCATCAAAACGCTTCTTTGGCTGGGCAGTTAGTTCTTTAAATAATTCTCCATTTGGAGCATATTCCAAAATTAAATATACTCTCTTATCATCATGGAAATAGCCATACATTTTCAAAATGTTTGGATGTCTATATTAAAAAAATAAGTAACAATCAGCAATCTTGATACATATGTATGTGTATATATAGATATACGACCAAATAGTTTTATACTAATAAAATTATTGGAACAAAAAAATTCAAAGCTGAATTTACATTTTCTTACCTCAAATGTGTCTGAATTTCTATTTCTCGCCTAACTTGATGTTCTACATCAGCTTTTTGTATTTGCGCTTTAAATAACACTTTCATGGCAATAATGAATTTTGATTTTTTTTCTCTAGCTAAATAAACATTTCCAAACTTTCCTTTTCCTAATGGTCGTCCGATATCAAAATCTGTTAAGACCCATTTTTTCTCATTTTGATTTTCATGTTTCTCATTGTTTTGTTCTTCATTCTTCCCTGTTTCCAGGTCCTTGCAATTTTTATTCTCTTTACCTTTTTCTTCATCAGTCTTATTCTGTATAGAGAGTACTGTTTTAGATTTTTTTGTATTTTCTTCCGTTTGTTTATTATTTGCCAAGTAAGTGTTACACTGGTCTGCAATAGTAGGTATATTTTCTGTATTATTCGATGTATTTTCACACAAGACAGACGATGTTTTAGATATTCTTAATTGTTTAAAACTGTTATGCACTTGTGAAATCACTTGTTGCGGGTGAGAATTGTTTTTTTTATCCTTCGGCATCGCTGAAATCGCAATGTACCGCCTATAATTATTAAAAATAATTCAAATAACATACAAACATTTATTTAAAAATTAAAGAAATTAAATGTTCAATTTTATATAATTATTTTCTATGATATCATAAAGTTGATTGTAGACATATCAATTTTGTACACTAATATGTTATCACATAAAAAGACATTCATAATATTTGAAGAATTTACGGTTTTTGCATTATAAAACTCAAAACTTCTTACGTGAACAGGAATTGCTTTATTCAAGAGAAAAGCAACATTTACATTTATTATATATTTATAAATATATTTTGGAACATTGATGTGGAATTATGTATTAAATACTTACTCACGTCGACAGCAGTCGACAGTAGAAAACACGATTTCTGCCAAAAATGTCGACTTACCTCTTCTGTTTGAAAATAACGAATTTTCTCGTCATTCCTCCTTTGTTGTGATTGGTCAGGTCAGATTCAGAATTATGTATAATCCATAGACATATATAATAGACTGTGCGGTCTTATGGTAGGGATGAAGGCGGCACTAAAGAGAGAGAACAATAACTGAAGTAGTTTTCCTCTCTTCCTAATGGGGCTGTTAGTGGGGCATTCTCCTACGGTGTAGTGAGGCACAGCTGGGCACAACCCCGACTGACCCCAACTATGGCAATATAGTTAGAGTACACTGTACCACGCTTCGAAAGTTGAAATTTTAAATTAATTATTTACATTTTATTATTCTGTTGAGTATAGGTAATGGTAACAAATAATGGAATATGATTTTGCAAAAATAGATTATATTGTATATTTTTTTTCATAGTCACTATACTCGCTATATTTTTATTGTTCAATTGCAGTAATTCTGTATTCATTTCAAACTTTTTTTTTTATTCAAGATATACACTTATATTGAAAAGACAAATTATATAGTCTTCCACGATTTGAAGATTACATATAGTAAAAGAATGATACATACAAATATTTCACACACATTTTAATGAATGTAAGAAACAACAGTCCATTTACAATTTTCATATGAATCTTAAAATATTTATTTATTCAGTATGAGTAATATATTTATTACAGATTAACAAACATTTGTAAATAGGGTTCTTCGTTTACCTATATTACAGACCATATTTAGAAAAATATTCTATATGAAATGAAACTTATGTATGGTTTCTTGTATCAATGTAAAATTAAAGAAAACTAAATTACATGTTTTATTCTAAATATGGCCATAATTTCATATACATTTATTAGAATAAAACTTCATTGATCAAACTCAAATTACACTTCACCATTCAGAAGTTTTTTATCAAATAAGAATTCTCCCAATTGCCCATGTGTTGCCATCATTTTACCCAAAGTTGAGACTTTTCCGGCGATATCACGCTGTCCCTTATATTGCTCGTCCAAGAAGTCTGCAGTAAAGTAGTCTACCAGCTGAAATAAAACAATTTGTCGATTAAAAATTAATATATTATATTTTTGTACATATAAAAGTATAAACAGTTTTCACTCACATGGTAATCATTGAAAGTTGAAGTAGGTGCTGGGTTTTCACATTTTATTATAATATCACGGATATGACGTGTAACTTTTGCTTCCAATTTGAGAGCAGCTTGGAAGGCTTTTAAACCATTCTCCCAACTATGTCCCAATGGTTTCTGAAATTGATATTTATATGTTTTTAATTGGACTACTTGTTATATAACATTTAAGGCAGAATATAATTGTCATACAAAAGCAATTATAAAATACGTACCGGATATTTCACAAGGTTACTAACATCGTTTGTCAATTGACCACGCATTAACAGGTATTCAATGATTTTTATTGCATGCTCTCTTTCTTCATTGGCAGCATCGAAAAAGAATTTACTAAATCCAGGACGATTAACTGTATCACGAGCAAAGTGAGCACCCTATAATGGAATTACATATAAACACAATTTTTATTACTACAAAACAGTGAAAATAATTATAGTTACCATTGCAAGATAAGTCATAGCAGCTTCAATTTCGGTTTTAACCTGGGCTTCTAATATTTTTACACATGGTTCGACCATGTCCAGCCATTCGTTTGGAACATTTGCAGACTGACCCTGACCTATAAATATCAATTTATAATACACTCTACTAATAGCAATGAAATAAAGAAAAAAATAATTCGTTACATATTATACGTACATTAAAGTATGTTTAAAAAATAATTTTGTACTGTAAAATCTCCATTGTAAAAAGTGACATAAGATCACTATAACTGTAAAAGATACTGAAAAATATGTTTTCATGTTTATCAGTAATAATGGAAGTCCTTTGTAGAAGATAAGATTACATTCTTATATCTTTTGTAGTTACATAGAAAATTACAGAGTATTTCAATTATCGTTATTTTTTTAGCACTTCACTTTTCCTTCATTATCTCTACATCTTCTAATACAGTACATTAGTACAAACCTTTACTATTCTTGTTTTATAGAACTTTATTCATGTAAACTTAATTAAATAGTTTATTAATATAAATATTCATGAATGAATTGTAAATATTACATGAAGCAAATACATAATTAATTATTGATGGTACATAATAATAATAAGATTCGTTATTAAAATGCATAATTAATTTTATTTGAGTTATGTTTAATAAAAAATGTATAATAAAATAATAAAAGAGGAATTCGATGAAACAAAGTAGTTTCAACTAAATTATCTGACTCCCTGGGCATTATCCGTCACACATGTGTACATATTCATTATGGACTTTAGAACATGCAGTAATCAATACGTTCACATTGTCACGTAAAGCTTATCAAAAGTTATCAGTGCGCACACAAGATTGTCAACAATGACCCATAAGTGACATGTTCCAAAGTCTTTGGAGTTCATGTAAACTAACTTTACATTTGTTCCAGAGCTTAAAGCTTTTTAAATTAATAACTTCCATAAAAATGTGTTCAATAAAAAAATATAAAAAAATTTGAACAGCAAAAACATATGTAAATGTTCAATATATCATTTAAGAATTTAATATGCAAAGAATTGATTTCATATTCTACTTCTTTAATAAAAATATTTTTACAATTCAAAATAAATATTCCATAAATGAATTGAAATTGAAACAAAGTATAATTAATATATTTAAGATTGATAATCATTAATAACCTCCGTAACAAATTTCTGATAATGGTACACATATATCACAAAGTCATCATTTTCAAGTAGGTCAAAAGTTTATTAAAAATGTTGATCGTACCATATGATTCATAAAACTTGTGTCGATGTAAATGTTTACACAATATTTAAAATTAGTGTTTCAACAAATTTCTTTAATCAACGCAAGATATTGTCAATTGTACATTGTTGATTATATAAAATTACACGAAAAGATAAATAAAATGGGAAATGTAGTGCAATAATGACATGATTAAATAGATTGCATCATAGGTTCGCTCACTTGCACAATTTCCAGCATGACAAATATCTGATAAATTCTATAAATGTGAACAATGAAACAAGGAAACTCTGAAATCACACAGTGACTAATAAGTATAAAGTTTTTGTTATTGAGGATAAGTCATCACTGATAAAATATGCAAATTATGCCAACGAATTGAATAAAAATACGATAATGATTTTATTGCCTTCCTACAGAAATGAGTAACCAGAAAACTGACAAGAATTATATTTGTCATTATACAGAATTTTGTACGCAATAGAGTAAGCTGAAACAAAATGTAGTTATTCAGTTTATTCTATCAATGATTATATAAAGTAAAGTATAAGCACTATATAGTAACAGAAACACTAGTAATGTTTACAATTACAAATCACTAATATTTACTATTAGTATCATCTACCTTTTCGTTTCACTGATATTATTCCAATTTTATATAACAGTCTGACGCTTATTTCATTCAAAAAGGAACAAAAAAATAACGACAACCGTGTACTATTTATATAGTAATCAGTATATGAGATGCCAATTCTTAGAAAAGTAACCTGTTTACAAAGAATACTGCGCGGTAACATTTTTACATGTTGTGCAATGACCGAACTAAATATTAGTATTGTAATTAAAATAGATTAATAGTAATAAATATTGCGTACCTATGTTGGATATATTTTCAAGAGATGTAAAATAGATTTTTCAAGGACAATGTCAATCTCGGAAACAGAAAGGATGGAGGACAATGGGATCTATTGGTCGCATTAACCTTAACCGATAATACAGCAGAAACATGACACACATACACATATAAGCCGAAGGTTTATTAGAAAAATTTAAAAAATAACTGACAGACTTACATTTAAGTCCTTGTGATCCGGCGATACAAAGGAAAGCGACGAGAGAGATGTAAAGCAGCTTCATGGTTGATCACTTTCAGAATTTCGAATTGAGAAAGTCGGATGAGAGTACTTGTTAATTGTCTGTTTCAGTAGCAACCTTTATACGCACTGGTATAGAAGGCTGCTTTTAGTGAAGTTAAATAAGAGAACGTGTGAGAACTAAACACGATGTACGGCCATCAATCACTTAATAATTGGCCAACAAATGCGTACCATTCGTACTTTAATCGACGGGTAGTAACTGGAATTTTCTATTTCCTTTCTACCACGCATGCGCCCTACCTATCAGCTGACTATGACTGTGTGAAAACTACCAACGGACACTGTTGACGCTGTTATTCGTTGTTCATTGTGGTTCATTCGGTTCATTGTTGGAAGAACGTCGAAGCGAGAGTATTCACGTTGCCTCCCTTTAAACGAGCACATCGTTTGAACAGGTATGTAATATGAACTACCCAACTCGTTGTTCTTCATAACACAATCAACAGCGTGTCGTGTGTAAATAGAGAATCAAAGTCGATACAATCCCGATACATGAAACATTTTTTTAATTTCATTCCTTTTCACTCGGTATGTATATAGAATGTACTGCGCATTTCAATGCAACAACGACAGATATATCACTGTGCAATATCCGATATCTACAGGCAGCGCAAATTTTTTTGATAGAGATTCGTGACGTCTACAAAGATTATACCCCTCATCGGCAACATATATTTTGAATCTTAGATTACACTGTGTTAGTGTGAACTCGTATGAGTAATAGGCTATTGTATTATTTTCTGTTATCGGCTTTCCGTTTACTCTTAGCATTAACGTTAGTGAGTTTACTATATTGATAATAGCAAAATGTACTATTTAAGATTTAGTTTATTATCCTACGTTTATAAATTTTATTTTTATTTTAGTTCCGTATTTATTACCTTTTAATATTCAGCGCCCAGTTTTTGTACTCACATATATCTGACATTAACACATATTTTTCATTTATTTGAACAATTTCTTATATTTTTAGTTGCAGTTAACATATTGTATGTTAGTAAGATTTTAGGTGTTCCTAAATTCGGTATTTTTATATGACATAATATATCTTACTAAATTTTCACATTTATTTAGTAATGTATTTATACAAACATTACAAATATGTACATGGAAAATACAAATCGAGGACAACAGTATTTAATATTACATTAATTTTTAAATAACAAGATGATTATTCAAATAGTTTTCTTTATTTCTTTATTTTTTTACTTATCCCCCGGTTAATTTACAATTTCTTTTTTACAAACATTAGGTAAATTGTTCTGTCTTTTTTGGTACAGTTAGCATGTAGATACTCTCCCATTGGATCATATCTGAGTTTGAGCAAGCTGCATTGTTAGCTTATTTTACTTTGTTACTTAAAATTACAGAAAAATGTTGTCCTTTGGAATATTGTCTATTCTTTTGGCAGTAGCATCTGCCGAATTCTGCTATCCTGATGTAGAAAAAGCTTGTGGCACAACACCCATACCAGCAGGTATAAAAATATCTTATACTCTCAAGTGGTATTATGTGTTAAATTATATTAACAGTTCAAAAATTGTTTAACATTCAAATTTTTAGATGAACAACTGATGCCAAATTGTAATGCTAAATATGGAGCTATTCAAGAGCTTCAAGCTGATCTTCAAGCATACGCGAGTGCTAATATTGAGTCCAGTTTTGAATTTTTATTAATGTCAAGTTTCTTTGGAAACTACGAGGCTAATCGCGATGGGTTCAAAAAATTATATCGTAAATATTCTGATCAACTGTGGGAGGATTCAATTAATGTAATAAAATATATTACAAAACGTGGTGGTGAAATGAACTTTAATCAGTTACCACGTATTCAGAAATCTGTAAGTAGATTTACACCATACATAAAATTATAATACAACTTCTTAGCAATACAAGTTTTTCTCACATTCATATATTTCTCTCTTAGGTGAATGGAAGCAGAGTATTAGAATTGAATGAACTTAACAGTTTAGCTAAGGCACTTGACACTCAGAAACAACTTGCCACTGAAGCACTCAGAATTCATTCTGAAGCAATGCCTTACAATAAGCATGATGCAGCTGTTGCTCATTACATTGAAGAACAGTTCTTAGAAGGACATACTGAACGTGTAAGAGAGCTAGCAGGCTATACAACCGAATTGAAGAGTTTGTCATCTCAACATAATCCAGCTGTTTCTGTATTCTTGTTTGATGAAATCCTGAAGAAAAGTTTGTAAAATACTTCCAACCAAAGTTACAGATGTGTAATACTGAATCTTATATTTAATTATTACTATTAAAATTCTTTGTATCAATAACTTCTGTTCACTGAAAAGTACTTTTTTTTTCTTTCATTTTTTTCGTAAAGTTCTATGTGTGAAGTTAATGAATTTACTATATAATGTTATTTTATTGACATGTTTCATCTAATAAAGTGCATACTTTATTAATTACTTTTTTAGTTTTTACATTGATACAGTAAGTACAAATTAAGTTTATGTATGTTTAAAATAACATTAAATGAATTCCTTAAGAACAGTCAACCCCTATAAGATAGTGTACATCAAAAGATTAACTTCAAAATAAAAATTAAGAACAAATTTTGTTTCACAAAGAACAATAATTATTAAGTTTAAACTTACGTAACATAATTAAAAAAAATTAGAAATATGTTTCTTGAAGTAAAGTATGGACCTAGTATTAAAAGGTTTCATAGTAAATATCAATTTTTTTATAATAAATGGGATATATAGTAAAGTAAATATTAGCATACAATATTTTATTTTCATATTTTATTGCTATACACTGATGTGTACATTTCATTCAATTTTATTTAATTTGCAATATACATATTTTCGTTTTTCGAAATGTTGATAATGATAGAACAGTTTATCATCTCAATTACATGATTATAGAAAGCTGACATACAATTAATGCCATCACTACTTCCATAGACAAAAACAAACAGTGTACAATATATACTTAAATCGTTAATCCTAAAATAAAGGCACATTAATCAGGTATGGTTCAGTAAGTCTGAAATGTTCTTGTAAACAGAGATAATTATATATAGTTTTCTGTTTATTAATAAAACTATAATTTGCAAAAATTTGTAAAAATCAAGAGTAAGTTTATATTCAATTCAGCATGTTTAGTCAATAAGTAATGTGCCTAATAAATTAAAATATATTAAATCGTACAAAACATTTTTTTTATTATCACTTACTTGTTTTAAACAAGTAATTCACTTTTAATTATAATAATTTGCGACAACGATAACATTAATAAAAAAGAGGATTTAATTCGTGGAATATAAAATATATCATTTTTATGCGTAAATATAGAAAAATGAAAAATAATATTTCTACATAATATTTGTAAAAAATAGTTGTATAACAATTCATCATATCATCTTTTATCATTCTTTTGATGACAAAAAAATGTAGCTCTACAACATTTATATAGTATAAAGCATTTGAATTTTATGATTTTATATGGAAGGCAGTTCATGTGTACCTACATCACTTAACAATTAGCCTCATAAAATGTTATAATAAATTGATCTCTGCATTATGTTGCCAAGCTAAAGCTACTTCATTTTTGAAATAATAAATAAATAGTGTCAACGTGAAAACAATACTCCGTCAAATGTAAAAAAACTGGAAGCGCCATTGTGAATAATTAATTCAGTCTAAGATATACATATAATAATGTAAGGCCTTACTGCTTGCATTTGTTATTTCCTCTACGTACAAGGAATTAGTATAATTTAAATAAAAATATATCTTGTCATACTACTGCTTGATATGTTACTCTTTACATCGTCAAAAATTGTATAACAGTTATACTAAATCCCACTGACTTTGCTATAAGTTATTTATCTTTTCTGATATGAATCCTCTAACGATCTTAAATATACAATAAGCAATAGATACATATTTTGGATATTTCTTTGCAGCAACTTGTAGAAATATTACAGGACGCCACAGATACCTTTTGTAATACATCATTTGTTGATTAATGGTTTCTCATATCTAATTGTTATAAACATATTTTCTCCATTTATCATTCAATACTGCAACACTTCTTTTATCACAGTAAAACGTCCATTATCCGAATTCATATGCAAACAAATTCGCCCTCATAACTGGTTTTTCGAATATATGGTCCAGGAGAACCAAAATTGCAAATATATACGACTAATTATAAAACGTCTAGAAATTGGACGATTTTGGAAGATTGATGTTTATTGTATGAAAGAACATGCGGTAAGTTTAATATAAAAAGCAAATGAAACATTTTCATTCGTAGTCCTTCTAAAATAAACATTTAGAATATTTGTATCATTCCCATAATCGGTACTTAAGAGAATCGAAGTTTCGATAATTGACATTCAGATAATCGACGTTTTACTGGATCCCTTCGATATTCTTTGTAACAATAAGGTTCCTAAATTACGCATTGAGTGGTCAAAAAGGTACTTGAGTTCCTTCTTGTAACCATACATTTCAATTTGAAACATAGTTCTTGTAAATAACCAATCTTTTATGGAAATTTTTTATCTACATAAACTTGTGTTTAACATATTTCATCTAATGATATTGCAGACAAACGAAAACTTCAATAACAGAATTTAGAGTATAAATACAAATACGAGATTTAAATGGAAGTAATATTCATTAAACTGTTTACCTCTTCTCGATTTTGATATGTATAAAATACGTCAAGGTGTCCGTGCGATTTAGCATTATTTTATAAATTATGCGTGTGCATCTAGAACAATTATTTATAATATAAACAACAAATTTGTCGATATAAAATAGAAGTAAATTGCACGTAAATTTTATACTTACACTTGAGGGTGTAATTCGAAGATGTATTAACAGTGATGCAAGTTCTAGATCTTCGCTATAATTATTCTTTAATGGGACATTTCTGTAACCTGATCGTAAACACCGTACCTAAATATACAAATATATTACTGAAAATACTGTATTCAATTAACAATCATAAAAAAATATTTTTGTAACTTATACAAACAGGATAAGTGGCATGTCCAATGAAATTACTATCATCAAACATATCTACGTCCTGCACAACAAATCGTATGAATGCGAAGTATGGATTAGCTACTTCAAACTCACAAGACTCATTCCACATGGGATTAAATCCATTATCAGCTGCAATTTTAAATAGTTACTACATAGTTGTCGAAATTGTGATAAGTGTGATATTATTTTACTTACGAATCGTTTTAGTTCTCAGTTTTGTACCGGTATCAAAATCTGCTCCTACGATTTCAATTTCGACCAAAGGATTTGCTATACGCCGTCCTGATCTAATTAAATGTCTAGCGCCAATAATTTTTATATTAAATTTAAGAGATTCTACACCATATAAGCTATTTTTGTCTTGGGGAATAAAATCATCCCTAAACATAAATTCAGGTTTCAAAATATAACCGCAGTTGCCATTTTCACTAAATTTCGCTTGGTTGAGCTGCATCGACTTATCTCCAGTTTGATAATTTAATGCTACCATCTGACATCCGGAATTCCACATTGGCACAGGATTATAATTCGACGAATCAATACGTTGTCCTTTGGGATATACTCTACTAAATTGAACCTACAAAATTACATTTATATTATTATAGCCATATTTAATGTTGTAAACGTAATTTATGTTTGATAATCCTGTATGGTCTTACCTGATGGTATTTCAAGAAAAATTTATTCTCTTGTTGACACATAAGTTTTTCTGCTTTTGTTTCAGGAAAGCTACTCATTTCATTAAATACGAAACCTTTGGTTCTTATTCTGTCTAAATTAAATGCAACCGATCTGCAATAAACTATTAAATTTGACATTTCTTTTGCTATTCTCCATGCACGTTCCATTTCTTTGTGCTGATTTTCCTAGAGAAAAGATGCACATGTGTAATTTTGGAATTTATTTACAAACAATTGTGTACACTTACCCGGACACTTGCACTTTGTACTGTTTCTTTAATACTTGACATCCATTCTAATGCAGTATCTTTGGAAGAAGTAGCCACTTCAAACGCTGAAACCATACTAGGACTTTGAATTCTCAATATCCATTCTAATCCAGGTCTTCCACCTACTCTTAGCTCAACAACAGCACCCATAATATCCAATGAGCCTTTTTGAAGGTTACCAAACATCATAGAATCTGTTGACTAAAATTAATAACATAGTGATATTAAATAACTGAGGGTAAAATGAAAAAGTAAAGTTTAATACAAAAAAGTGTAGACATACATCTCCCTGATTATCTTGAGGTTCTATTTCTTCTACATAATTAGCTGGAAACCAATGTTGCTTTTTACCTCCATAGTCTCCCCGCCACCAACCACCACTTTGTCGATGAACATTTGTTATTATAGCATGTTTCACTAACGTTAATTCATCATCTCTCCTTGCTGTATAATCATAGATAGCTTTCACAGTTACCTTTAACATACATTAATTGTATCATGTTTACGGAATTACACATCTATTATTTTATAACTCACTTTTGATGTAAAACTCGTAGGATCCATGTAACCGGGAATACCATAAACAGAGCTGTCATCGACATCCTAAATGAGAAAATATAATTAAATAAATATATCACGAACAAATAGTAACTAAATAAGTATTTAAAAAAAAACGTACTAGTCCCATTCTTCTAATAACGTCTTGATTTACAGGATGGCTTAACTTTATTTTTTTATACAATGGATGCCTTTCATAATAATTAACTAATTCGACTAAACTTTCAAACTGTATTGTATCAATAGTATATAAACGCCCTTCTTGTTTAATTCTACAATGCTTAATCTTTTTTTCTGCTCTGTAATAAAAAAAAAAATATTAAAATATTGTCATCTTCCATAATGATAGATATTCAGAACACTTTACCTAAATGAAATAGCATAAGAATTGCTTTCTTTTTCACTTGGCCTGACCAAAAATGCACCATCCGTAGGAATGCGTTTTAACATTTCCTCGGCCAAAGTACGGCTACAATCGACATGCCACCATTCTTTCTCTTCATGTTTATTTGGTTGTGGAACGGGTTCTTGAAGCGTGATTAAAAATTCCTATTTTATTTCATACGTAACATTAGTTAATTAAATGATTATGTTATCAGAAGAAGTAATACAGTATCTTGGTTGCCCTTACTTGGCTCCTTAATGGATGATTACGATAATGCGTAATTAAACTGTACAAACTATCGAAGCAATTAGTGTCAATAAGATAATATTGTGTTTGACCCATCTCTTGCTTCAGTTTAATACGACAATGATTTACTTTGCCTTTACGCCAAAAGGAAAGACAGTAATCGCCTACAAACGTAACGCATTGTCGAACTAAAAAAGTACCATCTCCAAGATGCGAATAACGGCGTAGTAGTTCTTCTGCTTCTTCTCTGCCTCTTGCCAGTTTGCCATGAAACCATTTTTCTCCAAAATGTAATTCATCATTGGGCACACCCTGTGTTACAATAAATACTAGAATTCAATAAGGTGATAATTAATAATATATACATTTATAGAACATTATATTTGAGTATATACATCTGTAGGCCGTTGAACAACATCTTCTTCGTCATCATCGTGTTCAGTGTCCGGTGTTCTAGAAAACGTGTCCGTATAGAATAACTTTTGTTGAGTCAGTACAAAGAAATGTGGATTCCATTCTTTATCGACAGGATCTTCCAGATAAAGAATACCATTTTTTACTGTATTTCTGAGGTCCACTTCTTGTCTGCTTTCATCATTTCGAATGAGGAATGACGTCTCATCGACACCATCAGGTAACTTTTTATGCTTTAATATAATTTTTTGTATCAATGCATGAGGCGATGGCAAACAAGTTTCATGTTTATCTACAGGTTGAACTAACAGCATGTCACCAAATACTTCTTGCATGGTAATTGCCATTTTACGTTGTTGAGGCAGCGTGCAATTATCCTCAATCGATAGAATCACAGGATATCTATACAAAAATACATATTTATGTCTTGACTCTTGCTGTAAAACTTATACGAATATTTTATTTATGCTTACATTGAAGTAACAAAAGCATGCTCTCTAATGGTTTTAATGACATCCAGAAATTTTATTTTTGTGGTAAGCGTATGGCCATGAAAAATAAATGGCATCCCATCTGGTCCATCCCAACAATCAAGTTCTATGCATCTGCAACCAGATCTTAAAGCACGTACATACGCTTGACAACTACTTTCACTACTAATCTGATCACCCATTAGATAGCTAAAAAAAACGTATAATTAATTCTCTTCTTTATCATTGTATAAGCAATTTTGTTTGTAAAAATAATGTCCTTACGTGTTATGTGATGAAGCTATCCAATAATGTGAAAGAGGTTTGTTCATATCATGGTATATTTCAGAATATTTGGAATCCCAAACACAATTTTGCTTTGAAAATAAGAAATCGATGAATTCAGAAAACGTGAAGTGCGGTTCCTGTACATCTCTTTGGGGATCTTGTAAATAATCTCTAATAAAACGTGAAACTTCTATCTCATTATTTCCTAAAGGGTCTTGTTGTTCAGTTATTAAAAAGTTCTGAAAGTCATGAACAGTAACAATCGGTCCTGTTTTCGAATAATTGAGTAATTTCCTCCAATCTAGAAAATTCTGTAAACACAAACACACAATATATACCGAAGTTTGACAAAAAGATAACCTATTAACAGTAAATTTGTTATGAAAAATACCAATGTATACAGCACTGAATGTTCAAAAACTTACATTTTGATCGAACATAAGTTTATGGTAAAGTCCAACAAAATCGTCGAAACCAAGTTCGTTTCTGTTTCCCGTATCTATTTCTTGAAAAAGTTCTCTAAGTCTGTTTGTTGCTACTTTACAATTAACTCTAAGTAAAAATGCTTTCACATCTTTCAATGTAACTCTGGAAATGTAAATTATCAAATTAGACATGTATGAAATTAATGAACTTATATATATCATCTATAATAATTGATTGAAGTTAATATAAAAAAAAGTATATAAAAACAAAAGGAATCTAAAGTTATGAGTGAAGAATTATAAATTTTTTACGTTTCTCTTGAATTTTCCATTGCATAAAACTCTTTTCTTAGCCATCTTTCAACTTGTAAAGGATATGGAGCTTTTATAGTGTCTTGAACTAAATATTGTAGCCCATGTACCCAAAGATGACATTCTTTTTCACTAAGGGCTGAAATAAATACATAAAAGCAAGTGCATGCAACAAGTATACTATAAGAAACATTTATATGTCAGATAATAAAAATATATGTACGTAAATATCAAAAATAAATATTAGAGTAATCATTTATACAGTAATAGAAAGATAAAAATGTATTTACCAGAGATCGAAAGTGTTTTAAGACGAAATTCTGAACCATAATATATAACAAAACAACTCGAGAATTCTGTCCTTTTTGCATCTTCTGGCCATTTTTCAAAGTCCTTAGAATATTTTCCTTTTTTAATTCCCTTGATTTCTCGAATTTCAACTAAAATCAGAATAAATAAAATCTTTAATACTTACTACACCACATATAATCATGTCCACACATAATACATATTAAAACTATCTGCAAAGGAATTGTTTACATAATCCGAGATAAGAGAAAATACTCAAACTATGCCATGTATAAGGTACTTTTATTCTTCAACTTATGTGTTATATTAATATTTGCTATTAGGTATAATATTAGTAATTTTTTTTTTCTTAAATTAAATCCCCATGATATCCTATAGGGCAGATTTAATATATCAACAGTATCCATGGGCACATTTGTTTGTAGACCAAAACTGAAGGAAATGTCCACTAAGGTGCATGTAATATAATAGTGTTTAATGTACTATTGAATTATTAAATCATCAAGTCACCAAAGAAGTATAATTTAATTATGTGAGACACAAACATGTATAGAAAATCTTACTGTACGAAATTTATTAATTGACTTATGTTGTATCTTTGTCATAAACTCACCCATATACACTATTCACAATGACCTTTCCTTCACGTTTTTGACCTATAACTAGTATCCTCAGATAATATTTTGCCCATTTTTGCTGTAGATATATCTTCATAACCATGCAAAATGTGTGCCTAAAATATTAGGTCGAATTTTATTTCAACATTGATATCATGTTTATTCAATATATTCAACATATTGACATCAAATTAATATATATAATTTAAGAAAAATTATTACTTCAAGTACTCAGAGATACATATTTGCTGATACTTCTATTGTTTTTTGCCAATTCAAAGATGTACAATGGTGGATGAATATATAACAAATAACAATGAACCAAAAGTTTAATACTACTTTCTTTTGAACACAATGACATGTTAAACTGATGGATTATGTAATTTGTTAAAGGAAGAAGACACTTTTACCAGATTCATCACAAGGTCTAAATGTTGCGCTTCTTGCCCAAATAATTTGTCTAGTTTCTCTTCGTATCATAAGAGTATTTTTCTCTGGCCTCTTCCTTGAAAAAAATTTAGTTACCACAGTTCCCCTTTCCAGTTGACTGATTTTTTGTTCCATTTCAGGAATTATACCATTCATCTTTAAAGAATATTGTGTTCTCTAGAATGAATGAACATATTTATATTAATCACCTGCATAAGGATGAAAAGTCATATATTAGATTATATTATAAAAACATTTCTATCATGTCAAACTATAAAAGACTTAACCATTTGAATTATTTCAATTTCAAACTAAGCTTCTTTATACAACAATCAATTAATGTAAATGTTATTAAGATACATACAGAATATTTTGTGTGATATATATTTAAGACATGAGCTTGCTTTTAACAATGGAATGTAATTGGAAACTCCTTATTGTATATTCATTTTGCAAAGTATTATTCGCAATACATAAGAAACTAATAATTTAATAGCAATTGTTTCAATATGCATAACCATTTCTTACTATAACTTATAATTGTTAAATTCTATGCAATGTTTACCAAATGTATATTCTATAAAAATATCAAATTTACTCTAATATCTTCTTTGAGTTTCTTTTTAAATAAAATATATTTCTCTATTAGTTTTAGGATAACAACTATATATATACGTGTAAGTTTTGAGATATAATCATTCACTTTCTATTGATTACCTTTATTACAATATGTAAACATAACCTACTATAAAATTTATTCGAATTGTATGTGTACTTTAATAAATAAATTTCAAAGCCAAAGGTGCTTTTCTTAACATATTAATCGTATAGATATGCGCATAAAACATAATTTAATAAACAAATTAGCTTCTTTTTCTTTTGATTGCAATTGTCTGATATGAAGAACACAATTTTTGTCACATCTGTGATTAGTATCTTCTTTACGTGCAAGCGTTATCTTTGTTATCTTCTCTTGTACGCTTAAAGATTTGTCCTACCTGAATCAGAAATGATATTTTCTTAATTATATGATAAAAAAATCGATTCTCTTATCATTTTATATAGGTATTGGACATGACTCCGTTCAGACAAGTCTAGGGATTTTTTATGCAAGCCGATATATTTTCATATCCATTAAAAATTATCAAATTCGTATCTTTATGTAATAATAAATAACGAAAACCACTTATTAATTGCATTTTTATCTGAACTTAGTGATTAGATACATATAAACACACTACTCAATGTCTGCAAGCACTGACTACGTAGTTATCTATGTTGGATATTTCCTAGACGAGAAAATGTAATTCATTTTTTGAATTAGTGTATGAACCTTATCATTATCTTCTAATTATTTTTAGTAGGAAATTAGGAAATAAATGTAAATGATACAGATTAATTATTTCATTACTTCGTCAATTTTATTATCGCGTGTAACTATAATTGTCTTATTTAAATCTAAAAAACTCTTTTAAAGATGATCCAATAGATAAAAAAAAATCAGTAACACATTTCAATGTTGACGTAGCTTGTTCAAAATTTGAAGATGAAACAGGTGATAAAGACGGTGCTGTGTTCTCTAGAAAATATTCATTTTCTTTGCCCATAACATTCTACAAAGAAATACATATAAATGAATAATAATTGTATTATTTATCACTTATATTCTTTATATTTGATTATTGAAACTTACACAATTAATATTATGTAAACATGATTCAACATATTCTGAATTATTACTATTTTTCAGTTTCTTAAATCTTTTTAATAGTATGAAGCAATTATTTTCCAGTTGTACATCTGCATCTGCTTCGTTATCTTTTTTGAGATACATAATCCTTGATGCATCCAGATTAACCTGTTAATTTAACGAACATATAGTTATGTATAATTTTAGTTTTATTTACAGAAATAAAATGGCAGAGTTTTCCCAACAAAAAACTTATAATATCAACCTCAGATTCTCCATCTGATCTTTTTCTCTTATTGGCTACTACTGGTATATTTTCAGATGGAAAAAGATTAAGATTATTATGTCTCAATGGTTTTCTTGAACTGCTATCTTTTCGTAAAGTCTGTCTACATTCTGCATACTAAAATAACAAAATAAATTGTATCAATTCTGTTATATGAAGTATTTATATTAAAATAATATTTAGTAATACCTTTTTTATAGAGTTTTGTATTGCTTCTATCCATAAATTGCTATCGTCTTTCTCTGAATAAAGTAAGAGTATCTCATTTAAACAAGTTACACGAAACAATCCGCCGCTTAAAACGCATTCAACTTTACATTTATTCAGAGGTAAAACGCAACAAACAGTTAATGAAGTTTGTGGATCTCCCTTACAATATAGTAAAGTGTCACTGAGAAGAACAAAATATCTTCTATATGCAGAATTCCCTCGTCTTGACACTCTCATTAAAGCACCTTGTTTAATCAATTTTCTATCAGGTTTCACCAAATTAATTGGATTCATAATACATCTTTGAAGTTTTAATAACTTCTGTGCTTCTTCATGCTGTTCAACTAAAGCATTTATATGTCTTGCTGCTTTTTCAATTTCTACTAAGCATACTAAAAAATTCAAGTACTCAAAATCAAAGTTATATTGTTTTACAATACAAGTAATTTTAATTATTACTTCATACTTACCTTGTAAAAGATTATACTCTTTATGTTTATTTGGAGTATGTTGCAAGACTTCTTGTAAAAGTAATTTATACCTAGGTACCCTTTGTATAGGTGTAATTAATAATGAAGGTAATTTTCTACCAACTTCTGGTCTTGATTCTTGTTTACTGATAAAATCTTTAAATGCAAAGTTACTCTCTTGTTTTGACTGAAAAAAACATTTCTTACATACAACATATTGTAGTATAGAAATAATATCCATTTAAGAAATTTTGAAATGTAATACCTGTAATAAAGATAAAACTTGTTCATAATCATAAGCATAAACAGAGTATAATTTAAAAAATGGAGCAAGTTTATGGAATGCACCAGCTATGTTGTGTGGGTCCTGTTTTAATTCCATAACTAATTCTCCACTAACATTGTACAATGTTTTTATGTTTTCAGACAATGTTGAAAGGAGAATGTGATCTAATAATTTTTTTTTAACCATAGGTTGTATAAAGAACTGAAAAAATCATTAATTTATTTTGATGCCATTTATAATTTCAAACATTATAAAATAAATATAAATAAATATAAAAAAATACCTCCATTAAGATTTCCAATTGATGTAAATAAGTAACTTCCGTTGTTAAAATTTCTTGCACTGCTTGAGATCTTAGATTTTTTTCCTTTTCTTCTAAATGTTTCTGATTACTTTCATTCAGACTGTTAAGTACTAAAAGTATATGTATTAAATTTTATATTTAAGTTTATATTAGGCAGAAAGATGAACTATCCAACTATACCTCTCATGCGACTCCTCATACTCAAAACATTTCTGTTGTTTATAATTGTTTTTAATTCGAAGCTCAAAGGAGTTTGTGGTGATATTGGCGAATTCATAATTATTAGTAATACTATCAAACTGTTGAAAGTTGTAATATTTTCCAAATTTTACATACCACCTGATGTATGTATTAAGTTATAAATACATTTGTTTATCCCAAGAGTATTTGTCTGTTTAAACTTACATAGCAATATACTCAATAATACATTAACAATATCGTTGAGTTAAATTAAAGTAATAATTGGATTGTAGATTTTTGCATTTACGATACTAATGTACAATATGAAATTCAACGAAACACATAACGTAGTGGAGATTCAATAATACTTTAGCTTTATTTGCAATTTTCGAAGGTTTTGAAGGACAAAAATAAATTTCTATTTTCATAAAAGAATACAGAAAATCTAAAATCGCCAAAGGTCTCGCAGTCTTCTAATAATTGAATAATACTTTTGAAAGTATAACATCGGTGAACATCGGTTAAAATTCAAAACATCGAGGATCGTGTTTCCTTTTACGTTGGTAAATTTTCGTCGTTTCGGAGTGTTTCCCGTGTTTCACTTGGATTTAAAATTATCGTATCAATGAACAGTTTAAGGCAATCAAATTATTTTATTGGTTGATTAACTACGAATGTCCAATGAAAAAGGAGGATTGGATAGAGACTTTCAGAATCATGAACAGTAAATTTTGTAGTACTATAGAGTTGGCAGTTTTGTGGAGCTAGGGTCTAAATATACGTGTTCTGGAATATCAAAACATATGATTGCATATGATGATGAAGTGACAATTTGACGAGAATCGAATTTGTTAATACTTACAACTTGTATTGTTACGAATCTGTTATTATCTATAGTGACACACGAAAGAACAGTATTGTTGAAAATACAACGTTATATTTATTGTTCAGCTTTCAAACAAGGTACGATGCAATCGATTTAACGTGAAATTTTGTCAGCGGTCTGAGTGTCAGCTGTGAAATGTCACGTCCGGGTTAGAACGATTTACCTAAAAGGAAATATATACGTATTTATTGAAATGCAGAATAAATAATGTTTTCTAAATGTATGCATGATACCCAATTATTATTATTTTGAATTACTTAATTACGTAACAAAATATGTTTTGCTACACAGACCTTTTCTTTTACATTATCAGTTATTTGTTTATTGTTCATGAAGTCAATAAAAAGCAAGTTTTATTCGTAATTTTGTAAGTATATCAACATTTTCTTAAAATTGTTGTTGGTTTCCAACTAAAATTGTGATTGTTAAATAGGTTATGGTCCTTTAAATTGTTATGTTCCACGTTGGTTGTGATTACATTAATAATTAATTTAACATATGAAATTTTTGTTACCTGTTTGCAAATTTTATTGTTTCATTTCTATTAGCTGTTACATAGAAGAATGAGATATTAAGAAGTCTTGTTTTATATACACATACATATATGTATATAATATTTCAGAACATGTATATATGTATATGTTTAGAGGAAAATTATTTATATGTATCTAAATTTTAATCATAAACTAAAGTGTACTGTAATATCTGCAACAATCTATTATTTGAACATTTATTTTATCTATATCAAATACATTCATCGAATAAAACTGTTTATTTAAAATGTATATTCATTGTATTATGATTAATTTTTTTTAACTTACAACTTCTATCATTATAATAATAAATCATTATTCTATTGTAAAAATATGTACAATTATGTTTTTCATATAATATCAAATGTTAAATGTAATAAATAATTTGGATAATAATTTTGAATTAAATGAAGATGTATAATTGATTAATGTAGAAATATTTGTGTATAAAAAATATAACATATTGTAAATTATTAGTTTACATGTATAGAATACGTTATGATGTTGACCATGAATACCCATATGCATTAATTTGTGGTCACTCTGTATTATATAATTATTCTTTTTTGTTTCAGAATACCTTAAGAGCTCTTTAAATCTGGAAATGTATATATATCAAATATAAGTATTTTTTAAAAAATATAATACATGGGGATTATATGTGAGCAACATATTAACTACAACATTACTTGTTCAAAACAAATATATAATATTTAAAATGTCACAAGCGGATGGCGGTGTCATACCAGTGACAAATAATCAGAACGGTGCAACTGTACCTAATAATCAGAACGGTGCAACTGTACCTAATAATCGTATTGCTGGTGGAGCAACTTGGAGAACCTATAATAATAACATGAACAATACTAGGAATAATAATAATCAAAACCCATTAGTTAATGTACGAGACAGATTATTTCATGCAATATTCATTAAAGTTGCATTAAGTTATGCAAGAACATTTCCAAGGCCTGTCAGAAGATTAATAGAATTTGTAGTTCTATTAAAGGTACATAATGTTTTATTTAATTATTATCTCATTTTATCTTCTAAATAAACATTACAGCAGTAAATTTAACAATGTATTAAACATATGCAACTTTTCAGGCTATACTAGCATTCTTCGTGTTGGCCTATATTCACATAGTATTTTCACGAGCACCAATTAATTGTTTAGAACACATAAGAGATGATTGGCCACGGGATGGCATATTAAGAGTTGAAATACTTAGAAACGGAGGAGAAGACTATAGTATAGAGAAGAGTTATGCAAAAGAAGAGAAACTTAGACAAGAAAAAGTTGATCATTCAATTAATACTTTGGGCATATTACCTAGAGATGTGTAAGGGTAAATTTACTATAATAATGAAGTATTATTGTTAGTCTTCTTTATTTTATATGTTAACTGTTTGTGTTATGTTATTCATTTCTCATTTCAGTGGTAGGTTCATTAATATTGAACCATCTGCCGTTGATAAAGATAGGGATACTGCCAAAATATCCACTGAAGAAAATCATGACAGTTTAACATTATCTGAAAAAGAAACAGCTACCAGAAGTGCTATTGCCCTCCAAGAGACACAAGATCCAAATTTAAGTATAAGTAACACAACAACAAGTCCATTGTATTCAACCAAAATGTGGAATGAAGTAGATGCAGATAGTAAAGAAGTTAGTATCAATAACTGAACAGAAATATCAGAGAACTTATTTACATTGTAAATATGATTTCGTTGTAAATATTATTCGAAATAAACATTTTAGACTTCGGATGAGAAAATAGTACAACTAACAAACGCACAGAACAATACTGGAGAAGAAGATCCAAATAAAACCAACACAGAAGATGTCATTCAACCTTTAAAAGAACAGAACTCTGAAAATGATAAAGTAACAAGAACAGGTACGGTAAAGTTAACAAATTTTGATAAGTGAATTTTACATTCTCTTAATTAAATAAAAATGATCATTACAATTTAATACTTTATCAGTATTATTTAAAATTACTTATTTTTTTAGATGATGGTTACATTGTAGAATATTCATTAGAATATGGTTTTTTGAGATTATCGCCCGTTGCCAGACAAAGGTTAAATATTCCTGTAAAAATTGTTACTTTGGATCCAGTGAATGATAAATGTTTTGGTGATGATTTTTCAAGACTAATACTCGATGAAATCTTGGGATATGATGATTTACTCATGGCGAGTATTAAGACACTAGCAGAGCACGAAGACAATAACGGGTTTTTGAGGTAAATAATTCTTTAAAGGATGAAACGTATTAAGTATGACTGCATTTTTAATTGAATACGATTCATATGTTTTTAAATCCTTTTTTTTTTTGCAGAAATGTGGTAACTGGAGAACATTACCGATTTGTTAGCATGTGGATGGCTAGAACTTCGTATCTCGCTGCATTCTTTATCATGTTAGTCTTTGTAAGTATATATTTTCAATTATATAGACCGCAAGTTTTTACAGAGATTTATAATGAATTTGACAAAATTAGCATTTATTTTAATCCAGTTATAAATAATTTAACTATTTGGTCCGCGCGCCACAGTATTTATGCTATAAAATCAGTATGTCTTCGTTTCACAGTTACAACAGTATTATATTGAAAACATTACACTGATTGAGTCATTTCAGACGTCATATATGCAATAAAAAATTGGTGAAGACAGCGTTCGTCTTCTTTAGCAGAATATAAATTTCGTCTGCAATACTAGTTGCTGAGGTGCACCCGTCAGTGGGTTAATATAAGACTAAATTACTATTTTCTCGATACAAAGAGATGTAAAATCAGTATGAATTTCTGTTTTTAAGAACTAAGTTACATCAACACGCTCCCTACTGTCACGTATATGTTACTCCAATTTCTAAGTCAGTGTATTTACCTAGATACAAGCAGAATGTGCTTTGCAATATTCATCTACATTTTATCTTATCTATTATCTCTGTTTTGTGCTTCTTTTTTAATACTTAATCAAGGAGGTAAGAACATTCCACTGAATATAATGATGGAAACCTAGCGTGGTCTTTGATGAACGTTTTTGAAACAATACGGTGTTATCGATCGTGTTAATCCGTTGAAACATTTTGTCTGCTGTAAGCACACCTTACAATATTTATTTTTTCATGTATAATTGTGTTATTCGATAGTAACTTGATAAAGGAAAGTATTTCCTATTTGTCAAGTTTATTTAGATTATTTCTCGTGTTCGGAGAATAAATTACACCATTTATATTATGAACTATGCGTCAGAGTATCGGATGCATCAACAGTGATGAGTCTAAAATTCTCTGAAGGTGTAAATTAGATATAGTTTCACGCGCTACGTGTTTTCGATCCGGATATATTCCTCCCCGTCAAGGGGATGGTATCATGCATATCTACACGACAACCTGGTACGTGTAAAAGGATACGGCAATCAATTCAAAGTAACGCACTGAGATAACCCGCGTACGATCCTCCCAGCCCTCCTGTATCCTCACATTCTACGATCCCTTTGGAGTTGAACCGGCTGGCATAAATCAACGTTATTAGGGGGCATCGTATTCGTTAGAGGGGCCCCAAGCTGGTAATTTCGTATCAAATTGTCTCCAAATAAGTTGTACCATTGCGTTGTTAGCGACACGATAATGATCGCCAGGTATTTTCAAACGATTTAAAATCGTTAACATCGTGTTTCATAAAATTTCTACCGGTTATACTTCAAATAGGTTTAATAACGGGTTCATTAACATCACCAGCCGCTAAATCGAGAATATTCTTCTTGTAAATTTTATATTTATCTTACGAGTCGTTTTTCGTTGTATGTATGTATATTTTCTTTTTCTTCCTTTTTACACCACTAATTATAAATGTTCCGTTGAATGAAACGTCTGATTAATAGGCAACTTATGCCGTAGAATCAAATTAGACACTCGAATCGGTGCATTATCGGATAGCCACGTGTTTCAACGTGAAACACCGGGAATGCCAGATGGCTCGCGAAATTTCGTGGCGGGGCAGCGGGGATGGAGGGATGGCAGGGGGGTATTCCCCGGGTGTTAGGAAGTGATTGGATCATACACGGGCCAACGAATAGCTTAGCTCGTGTTTAATGGGTTCACACCGTCAGAACAAATGAGTAATACAGTACGCCACTAACCACGATTCGAATGCAACGTGCACAGCAGCCTACACATCCAGTTCATGTCTATGCACACGACTGGCGGATATTGTATAGAGAAAAGCCAATTACTCAATATGCACGGAGTAATTTTAACCAGAATAACCGTTTGAACTTGACAAACAATACTTTGAAGACTCACTGATTATTATTGAACAATGTTAATTAATGTTAGGAAACGTACCATCACCGAACCATACGCGTATCACGATTCGTTTGGGGTCGAGACCCCGAACGAATTTCATCCCTTAAATCCGCGATATTACATTACATCGCCGTCGTTCGACGCGCGGCTTCATTTTAAATTCAAATATTCGCACGAATACGGAAGTTCGTTACAACCGGCTGCGCCGTAGCGTCATGATTTCGCTGTGATCGTTCTCGTTACTCGATTCCCGGAACAAACCGTTCTATGATTGTAATTCCGTTCACGGACGAAAGGAACGTTTTGTTTTTCGACGGTCAAATTCACACGTCCCGCCGCGAATTAAGAGATTTATGTATAGGGTCTCCCTCGATTGGAGGTCTCGTACTACATTCCGACGATTCAATTTGCTCAGTAATTATCGTTAACCCCCGTGTTTCGAATTAAATACGTTGTTACTCTTTCGTCGGGTGGAGGGGGGTTCAACGTGGTATCCGACCGTGTATACATAGATCCCTTGGAAACGCGCCCCGAATGTATAGTTGGAGACTGGGAGACATTGGGGGCAGACCCCGTGCAACAACACGTGAATGTTACTCCGGTGTTTCGAGTGCCACATGGAACCACCCCGTCGGTTAACCCACCGTGAAGTCACGTGTACGAGACTGTCGTCATCCCGCGTTACTACCCGGGGTATCTCTTGTGTCATGTGCACGCGGTATCGGGCGATTCTGTTACAATACAATCCCAGCGTGCAACACTATTCTTCGTCCCGTTTCTGCTTTTTTCTTCCTGTTTCCCTTTCTGTTCGTTGGGTGTCCGTTTGTTCCGCCTCTAGGAAATCTGTTCGTGTCTCATATCGAATACAAGATCAGTTTACCCTTGATTCAATTTCTTATTCTGTAGCCTCGTCGCCCGGAAAATAGGCGCACAGGGAACTTAAGGGTAACTTCCGATTATAATTTTGTGAAAAATCGATTTTTTTTTTATTGTGTATTTTCATCGTACATCTCAAGAATGCTATTTCAGCGTTTCAGTTAACAATTCGCGGAAGTACCGATTCTGCAAACATGTAAATGATTCTAACGCGCCGACCGCATGTAGCACACGAAAGGTTAGATCCAGAAGTACAAGTAATTGTAAACCCTGTATATGACAACTTGACTTTTGATGAACTTTTAACACGTTGCATAGAAATAAACATTTGAAACCACGTTTTTTAAAGTGGCGTGCTAGATTATTAAAAAATATTATTAACCTATCGACTTGATACTTGGCCTAGTTACAGTAAGCACATGTTATTGGTGGATGAATCAAATAAATTATGAAAAACGGGAATTATATGGTTTTGTCAGTGTGAAGTACAAAAAAAATCAAGATTTTGATACCGGATTTTCAAATTGTTACTATTCTTGTAATTTTCAACCCAGAATTTGAAAGTTAAAAAGTAAATATACAAAGTTCAAAAGATTCGGTTGATTGAGCTTTGCACAAATAGTTCGCAAAAATAAGCTCCTTTTCAGAATATTACACTGATCTGATCCCTTGAAATAGATATTCTGGCTCGATTTTCATGGCGCATGTTTATTACCAAAAGGAAGAAACAACTGTTGAATTTAAAAAAATTCCTATTAGTTACTAAGTAATTGTAGTTAATCAATTTATGTAAAACGTTAATTGGTATTGGTGACTAAAAGTTACCACGAAAACTCGTTCGTAAATTGTCAGTTCTGCAAGGTAACTGTTTATTGTTGCCTGTGAACAACCGATACCTGCTCATCTCTATTCTTTATTTATAAATGTGGGTAAACAAATGTTCGTATACGTGATGTTTGTCATTATTTTTTATTATTTCACCAAGAATTATCATATAAAAATGAAGAAAACGTGAATTTCGGTAAAAAAAATTCACTAGTCCAAAATGATTTGAATGCCATACAGAGGAAAACACTTGACTGGCTTAAACAAGATTTTTGTATTATTATACATTTGAATTTGTATTGGAATTTTCTTCGAAACAGGGTTCCGGGCGGTATATCAAGTCGGATCTATTTTTTTCGTCACTTACCTTGTAAATAACAGCGGCGCATCTGCAATGTACGATTAAACGGCTCCCGTTGCTAAGGTCGTCCATTGCAAATAGTAAATTATCTCCCGGGTGTCAGGTGCTAGTTCCATCGGAACCGATCGCAATTCAATTGCACTATTCACTCCCAACCCGGTAACCGAGTGCGCACCGCATGATTCGCAATTTGTCTCGCAACGTAGCTTTGTTACAATCTCCTTTTATTAAATAACAATATATTTTTTTCGACGACGTGTACCGATTCCTGTGATTTCGTACACGAGCGACTTTAATCCAAATGACACCACTGCCTCCAAGTATTCGAACGTATGGTGCGTCTAATCTGATGAGCAGATTAACTTATGCGAAAAGAAATTTTTCAAAATAATATCTGAAGTCAGGAGTAAAAGTGCAAATTTAATTGTTGGGAGTAATACACACTTATGTGGAGGAGAAAAAGAAATTTTGTAGAAAATTCTTCCTCTTCTTAAGGATCTTATTGGGCTAAAAATAATATAAAAACTTTCCCGAATGTGATCGAGGTTTTATATTTTGATTTCTAATAAAGATTTACTGGTTTTTGTCAGTTTTATTGTCTCATTTTAACCTGAATATTCATCGGATACGCATTCTACTGCATACTATTTGTGTAACGTGTCCGCCCATTGCTTACTGTTTCTACTTGTTGTAAGCGATACTGTAGACAGGTCGGTTGGAAATCGTGGTGCAACCGAAGACATGGTAAATCCACGTGCGAAATTGAATCGAAATTGTGAAATGAAATTTTTTCGAACAAGGTTTGTTTTCCCAAATAAACTTTGCATTGAAAATTCATGGGATTTCGTACTATTGATACTTACTGCTTCTACTTGTTGGAAACATTGACGATGGCGCGGTATTATTTCTTCTGTAATATATTGATATTATTATTACGGTATCTATGGTGCATGGAAGCGTATAGAATACAATAAATCAATATTGATAAAGTTCTTATTGAATTGGTAATTAAACAAGTACGTCAAATCACGAAGTAAAGTTCTCTCTGCTTCTGATTTCTGTGAAATTCCGTTCATACGAAGGTATTGTAAATATAACAGGTGACGTTGTTACACTTGTTTTTTTCATACATCGTGTATAATCACATATTTTTTGAATGTATATATATATATATATATATATATATATATACCAGTTAATTATTCAAACTCTTTTGCGTGGTAATCAAGTTTCGCACGAAATCAATTTACCTTACAATTTTGACTGATTTTTGCACGCGGAATTGGATCACACGTATTTGCATTATCTGCTGCAGATTGTACAGTATTTCCGGGTGTCGAATGTTGATGTCTGTATTGATAACGACATTATTGGTCATTTTAATGAACTCGTATAAACATATATAAATTGTATTTAATATATTTTAGATATAGATATACAATAGCACATTTTGTATTACAACTGTATTTATAATAATTGATTTTCTCGTAAAATTTCTATTATATTAGTTAATGATAGAGATACCTATTTTTTCGAATTCTATTAGTGACTTTCGTAATATTAATATTTTACGAATTTCATAACTCCTCGTATATTTTTGGGAGGTTTGCAGGTTTTTAAACGATATAACATCTTTTATTAATTTGGTACATGAACATTTCATTAAATCTATGTTTCGAGCACGGATTAATGTAATATTAAATTATTCTTCTTTCAGACCATCTCCATTTCGATGTTGCTACGGTACTCACACCATCAGATTTTCGTGTTTATCGGTAAGTGATTACAAATCTGACAATTATATTTTAAAATGGCTTAAATCGATAATGATCACTTGTTTTGTTGTCGTCAAAATGAAAATTTGTGTATTTCTGGTCTCTCTTTATCGAAATAATACGAAATGAACTTGTTTTCATTTTTTATTTCAATTGCAATTGCCATAGCTTTTATGTTTACATTCATGTTTTAAATAAATTCCAGTACATAAATTAATATTATTGAAAGAACTAATTTTTACATTTATACTTTATGTTAATATATCATGCGACGTTTTAATAGAAATTTTGATTATAACCACATATTTCATAAAATTTCTGCGTTTTTCTTCATGTTTGAGATGGTATTTGTTGAAACTTTCATCTTGTGTATGCTATTTACTCAAAATTAAGAGTTGGGCATATTTTTAACTGTTTATGACGCTATGGTTTATATTATAACCTTCTTTAGGAAGCTTTCCCCTGTTAGTTTGTCATTAATAATTTTTTTTTCATTCCCGATTTCAAAGTCAATTTGAATTCTAATGTAAAGAGTGATATACTTATATTTAAATTTATTTTAAACAAAAGTAACAAGCGAGTAATAAATTACAGCACGTGATTAGTGTTATCTATACACAATGGTTTATACACACGAAAAGATTGCAAGATGTGACTACTTTTTAATTTTCTACAGTTTAGTATAAGTATCTCGCTAAACATTCACTCTTAGAATTGTCACCCGTATTCTCTTTCGAACGTTTCTACGGTCGGCCGTGTTCTGCTACGGATAAATTGAAGGGCCCAGTGCAAGAGGAAGCTGTGCCACAAAATGTTGTAAAATGAAGTTTGTATTAATTCTGACACCTTTTGGTGTCTAGTCCCCCCCCCTCATCCCTTAATTTATAACTACGTGGCAAAATTTCTGCCTGTACTGTGATTGTATATACAGTGGCCGCCAAAAGTTTCTGGCCAAACAATAATTTCACCATATCTTTTTCAAAATATAATTTACGAATATACTTTAGATATACCCATATCGAGCATATATTGCTTCTGCAGATTTTTAATATCAGATCTGAGGAAGCAATGCATCCTCAATATGGCAATATCAAGAGTTTCTTCGTACTATATATTTTTAAAAATACAGGGTGAGTCAATAACAACTACTATCTAAAATAACTCGTTACCTATTGGATGCATCAGAAAACGATTTAATGAATTATGTACCATTTTAAAGGACGCATCGGGTGGATGCAATTTGAATTTTTAAATCTTATCCCTTTTTGAGATATCAAAGTGACCTTGAGTTATGTCAAGGTAATCGAACATTTTCTAAATTTGGGACAAAGTTACCCCTGACCGAGTCAAAGTTACCCCAATTCACGGTACACCTACGTCAGCGCTGAGCAGCGTAGGTGTCCTTCATACGCCTGCTTCCCCTTCCACTCTTTCTTTCGCGCCGTGTGCTTTCGCAGACAAAAGAAGCAGACACTGTCTCTGTTCCTCCACAGTAAGGATGGTGGGGATAGCGTTTAGCTCCCAGGAGTCAACTTTGCCCAGCGCTGCTCTGCGTGTTCTCTGAACACTTCCGTGTACTCTCTGCGTACCCTGGCCGAATTCTGTAGCCTGTAGCTCGTCCCATGACCCCTTGATATGGCCTCGATATCGTCGTGCCCCAAGAAAAATTGATAGAGACTGTGTCGAGAAGAGATCTCGAATGGCAGAAGAATAGTCACGACATGACTAAACGAGAATAATGTAATGTTTAATTTAACATGGCCTGCCGAAATGGCAGCGTTACAATAAATCGCGAACGATATAACAGTATGGTAGTCAGATGTATGACTGTCCTCAGTTTTACAATTAATTAATAACAAGTGATTGGGTTGAGACGTCTCGGTTAGATCTTACTGTAAGGTCGCCCCCAAAAGGAACCCTGAAGGAAACTTTCGATTTATTAATTTCCAGTGTTATTATTACAGTAGAAGCTTTAAACATACCTTTTCCTTTTTCGTTTTTTTATCAGCGAGTAAAATGTCTGCTATAGAGAACAAGTTAGTTCTTTCGGGAAGATCAATTGCATAAAAAATTATATGTTTATATAAACTTCATTGATTCCCCTAAGGGTTACAATTTCTTCCTATTTACAAGCTTCCTTAATCTGCGCTTACCCTGTGCATTTACAATTCTATTTTCTCAATTCTACCCCCGTTTGTTCACACACAGAAATACACCCCTTTCCCTATCTTGGACCTCCGCTTCTGCTCGTCTCTCCTTTCACTCTCATCTCTTCTTTCATTATTTCTTCCATCTATTCTCCATTTTCTTCAGTCCTTCTCATGAACGATTATATGTATTTATAAATAAAAACGTATATTTTAAACTTTCTTATCGAACAATACACATCGTATCAACTTTTTAAAAAATAAGGCAATATCTAATCAGACTAATCTATCGTTCGATCTTCGACATCGCGGGGTAAATGCCCTTTATATCTGATAATTCTCAAGCGATGAAATTAATTGTTCTATCTATCGGCGGCTATACAGAATCACGCTTAATATACCTTTCAAAATGGTGATACGTCTATCAAAAGGGTGATACGCCTATCAGAAGGAATCTTGAAAAAAATAGCTGTTATCTCAAAATATACGGTTCAACGACCTCATCCCGAGTGATGTTATTCATGATTTTCGCGAATCACGACCATCTCCCATGGCTCAGTTCTTCGCGTATAGGTGAGCTCGTTAGACTTATAAGGGGCCCTAATAAGATACAGACTGATCATCGACATCGTGCGAGTAAATACTCTTTCTATCTGATAACTATCAAGCGATGAAATTAATTGTTCCACCTATCGATTGCAATAATACAGAATCACACTTAATACTCCTTTTAAAATGGTGATACGCCTATCAGAAGAAACCCTGAAAAAAAAATATCTGCTATCTCAAAATGTATGGTTCAACGACCTCATCCCGAGCAATGTCGTTCGAGATCTCCGCGAATCACGATCATCTCCCACGGTTTATTCTTCGTGTATAGGTGAGTTCGTTATATTTATAGGGGCTCTAATAAGATACGGACTGATCATCGACATCGTGGGCGTAAATATTATTTATATCTCATAACTGTTAAGCGGTGAAATTAATTATTCCACTTATCGATTGCAATAATGCAGAATCACACTTAATACTCCTTTCAAAATGATGATACGCCTATCAGAAGGAATCTTGAAAAAAATATCTGTTATCTCAAAATATTGGATTCAATGACCTCATCCCGAGCAGTGTCGTTCAAGATTTTCGCGACTCACGATCATCTCCCTTGGCTCGTTCCTCCGGTGGAGGTGAGCTCGTTACATATATAAGAGGCTCTAATAAGATACGGACATTCGTTGTGTACGTTTTCGACGATGGAGCCTGTGTCAACATGGACTGTTTTCGGGATATTGCTGATCACCCTGATCACCGTATGCTCGGTGAAGGTGGTCGCGTTGCTGTACCAAGAGCTGACATACTGGAAGAAACGTGGTGTCCCATACATGCAGGCGACACCGTTGCTTGGAATGTCGTGGCAAGTGCTGTTAGGACGAGTATCATTCCCAGATTATCTGTCATTCCTGTACTACAGTCACCCAGACGCAGCGTACATCGGGGGGATGGAAAATACTGTTCCCCTCGTTATATTCCGGGATCCGAAACTGATCAGAGAGGTGAGCGTAAAGTATTTCGACCACTTTCCCAATCATCGAAGTTTCATACCTGAAGAGATGGATCCGATATTCGGAAGGAATGTGTTCTCCTTGTTGGATAACCGTTGGCGAGATATGAGGAATACTTTGAGCCCGTTCTTCACATCGAAGAAAATGCGATTCATGTTCGGTCTGGTGTCCAAATGCTCTCACGATTTCGTCGACTGTCTGCACCAACATCCGGAGCTCTGTTCCATGGTGGACATCAAAGATTACTTCAGAAAGTATACAAACGACGTGATCGCCAGCGTAGCTTTTGGCATCAATCTGAACTCCTTGAACGATCCTGAGAACGAGTTCTACAAGGCGGGCACAGGTATCACCGATTTAACTAGTTTCATCCGTATGATCAAAATAATGCTGTTCCGTCTGAGTCCTCGTCTATGGCGGATGACGGGTTTATCGTTGTTCTCGAAGTCAGGGATGAAGTTCTTTTACAATGTTATCTCGGAATCGGTGAGGGCGCGAGACGAACAGGGCTTCGTCAGGCTGGACATGATCCATCTGCTGATTCAGGCCAGGGATCGGGAGAAACATCAGAGCGTGACGAACATCGACGATATCGTCGCTCAGACGTTCATCTTTTTCTTCGCCGGCTTCGACACTATGTCCACGCTGCTGGCTTACCTGACCTACGAGTTGGCATTGAATCAAGATATTCAGGAGAAGCTACGGGAGGAAGTGGACCATTATATGACCAAGGAAAACGAGGAAATCACCTACGAAACTCTGTCGAAGATGGAGTATCTGGAAATGGTGGTCTCAGAGACGCACAGGAAGTACCCTGTAGTGATCACTGATCGTGTCTGCACGGAGAAGTTCGAGTTACCGCCAGCGGGGCCTGGTTACAACAAGACCACCGTAAACCCGAATGATAGCATTTGGATTCCCATTTATGCGTTGCATCACGATCCAAAGTACTTCCCTAATCCCGATAAGTTCGATCCCGAGCGATTCAACGAAGAGAACAAAAGGAACATCGTTCCTTATACTTACATGCCATTCGGTGTTGGGCCTCGAATGTGTATGGGGAATCGTTTGTCGATGATGGAGGCGAAAATAGTGACAGTTCACCTTTTGCGGAAGTTTTTCGTATTACCGAACGAGAAGACGAAACCAGTAAGGTTTAAGAAGGGTGGTTTTGCGTTAATTCCGATAGATGGATTATTTTGTAGCTTCAAGAAAAGAGACCCATAGGCGTAGTACGAATTGTTGTTATTTCATTGTTATTATTGTTGTGTTTTTCTATTTATTTCTATTGGAT